ACGGTTCGATTTGACGGACGGAAATCCGTCAGTAGAATTTGCCCGATCGTCAGCTACTAAAAGCTGTATTCGATCCGCAGGCACTGGCGGCTGCCAGTAGATTATTATGTATTCCGATCACTCGGAGCTGGACGGAAATCCAGCTGCTGAGTTGGACGATGTGCTCAACAGGAGCTTGACCGGCCGTGGCTGAGCGGAAACTCAGCACGGTTCGATTTGACGGACGGAAATCTGTCAGTAGAATTAGCCGATCGTCAGCTTCTGAAGCTGTATTCGATCCGCAGGCACTGGCGGCTGCCAGTAGATTATTATGTATTCCGATCACTCGGAGCTGGACGGAAATCCAGCTGCTGAGTTGGGAACTGGAACGGCCGTGGCTGAGCGGAAACTCAGCGCGGTCCAATTTGACGGGCGGAAATCCGTCAGTAGAATATTGGATAGTGATACTGTACTAATATTCTTTATTTCCACGATGGCCATGCCTTGTATACAGAAAAGGAATTGGCCTATGAATGATTGATTCAGATCAGTCTGAAATAAAAATTAATAAATATAAATTAATTACAAAAAAAATTAAACATTTTTTATTTTATTTTAATCTACACTCAATCTCTGCGGACACTGGAACGGCATGCTGTTTCATCCTTCATATGACTGTGGACTGATATGATCATCAGCGCAGCATTGAGAAAATGAGGCCGAACCTGATACCAATGGAAAATAAAATTTCCAAAGCCTTATTATTATACTTTTAATCTACATGTCATGACATGTAGCAAGGGTCAGGGAGAAAGCCTGAACGACAGCTGCTGGAAGCTGTATTCGATCCAGAGACGCTGGCCGCGGCCAGTAGATTTAATTATGATCGTGTTCGATTGAGGCTCCTGTCATGATGCAGGATACTTATGTTGACAAAACAGTCCACGTACTTTGCCCGACCCATCCATAACCAGATAACTGCGTAAGGTGTAGCTGCTATGCAACAATAATGGCGGAGGCGCATGCGAGACTCCGCACACCGTACTACAGACACGTTACTGATGCCAAGGGCTGATGATGTGGTTGGGTGCTGTGTATGCCAATGCGTCCTTATCCAAAATGAGGCGGAACTGGTTGATAGAAGCCAAGCACAAGCTCTTGGCTAAGAGCTGCCGGAGACTGGAAATCTCAGTGGCAAAATGTTTTCCGCCAAGACCATGAAAAAGGTTAAATCAGGCAATGCCCTGGTGGATGCAGCGCACCTATTGCGAGCACAGCGTCGCCACTAATCCCGCTTTCAAACTATACGGCATTCCGCAGTCCCCTCCGTTCTGCTGTAACACCTGCCCGTTTAGCGGCCGGTCGCCCCTTTTGGCGCAGGGGCCCCTTGCCATTCGGAAGCTACCGACCGGGGCCCCATACCAGACCAATCGGTCGTGGCATATGCGCATCCCCAGTGGTCATCAGCGCAGAAGTGGAAACACTCCCTGGTGTATCGGACAGCCTGGCGAGAAGGCTCTCAGGGGCAGTCCAGCTCTGGCGCGACATACGCACCAATACCCCGCAGACTCCTTTGTCACCACGCCAAGCTGTGGAGTGCATTATTATTAGTATCGACATGTTCGCGGTGGATCGCTTATGTTATGTACAATACCCGTTCCCAGCTATTAACTGGGAAAAGAGATCTGCTGTGCCCCATGCCATGGGTACGGGTCTTACTTTATAGCCTAGGTGTGGTGAAGCTTGCTGTTGAGAGCTGCGAAGCCTCATTGGCAGGATGGTAGCATCCCGGATAGCAATTTGCCTACTTGTAGCGTTGCTTTGATTTCGGAATATCCAATTCCAGTTACACCGGGCTCTGGAGCGGCCTTGGACAAGAATATGTCTGACGCTCGAGCCTCAGGACGGCCTCCTTGCAGTGGTGGTCACACCAGTCGGCAGCACACAATGCCATGGCAGTAGTGCCAGCCCCGCCAGTTTTAATCATATCATCGGATGCATCCGACTACGGTCGGGGCGCAGTGTGCCAGAACCGGGCCACGGGAGGGCCATAGACACATCTGGACAACTTACTTCCGTATCAACTGGAAGGATCTTCAAGCTGTTTTCCTGGGCCTGCAGACGTTTGCTCTTGCCAGTCACTGATAACAGTATTGCTGGGCTAGAGATGGACAACACAACAGCAGTTGCATAATTATGTTGATCACCAAGGCGGGACATACGAGACTCATATTCTCATCAGCTATGCCAACTAGCCAAGGACATTTGGACCTGAGTCGAGCAGCGCCTGCTACACCGCAAAGCCCTCCATGTGCCGGTCGCCTGAACACTGAGGCCGGTTTTCTATCATGGAACATTGAAGAGAGCGGCGATTGGCAGCTCAATCCTATTCTACAGGGCTGGTTCAGCTGATCAGGGAGAGTGGCCATCCAATTGTCCGAGATCTGTTCGTGACGCGGCACAATTGCCAGCTGCCGGCGTACATCAGCTAGCCACGGCCAAGACCAAGTGGCAGAGTGGTCCGATGCCCTGACGGCACCGTCGGCCATGTGGCGGAACGGCTACCTGTTTCCACCATTTGTTTTGGTGGACGCGTGTCTACGCTGCATCCGAGAACATTGGATCCAGCGAGCAATTCTAGTAGCTCTAGTTTAGCTGGTACAAGGGTTCTATCCCTTCTTGCTGCAGATGTTGATCTAGTGCTCTTGGCAGCTGCCACAGCGCGACCCTATGCTCCTTGATCCATGGGAAGAATCTACATCCACTGAAGGGCCTCCGGCTAGCCATTTGGACCATCTCAGGCATACTACAGCTCAGCTGGGACTTTCAGCAGACGCCTCCACACGGAGACGCGACGGACCTACTGTCTCATACGAGTCAGCCTTCCGATTATAGAACAGCTGATTGGGTGCACGGTAGGAAGATCACATGGCTGCCTCACTAGCTAACTTCTTAGCTGATCAGGTTTCCGAAGGTAAGCAGTACCGCACTATCAACATGTGTCGGTCAGCTCTGCCGTCCCCCTTGCCTAACCCATCCGGTTTCCCCCTTAGCCAAGACTTGCATGTGTGTTGCGTCCTGCGTGGTATATATCACCAAAAGCGACCACCACAGCAATAGTGTGGTAACACATGGGACGTGAAGATGATGTAGGATAAGAGTAGTGCTCTGGCCTCTGGGTCTGAAAGCTCAACTTCGGGTGCCCCTTCTGTCCAGGAAGACTTAGTGTGTAATGCTAGTATTATGCTACTTGCGTTTGCAAAGTCAGCTCGATCATTTGAGCTGACCTCATTGGATATCAACTAAATGCAGGTGCTACTTGATGTTTCAGCTTACCTCGCCGACAAAGGCTCAGAGGTCCGGAAGTCCAAACTCATTCTTCGTTCCCAAGCTACTACTAGTACTAGGTAGTCTGGCTAGCCTACAAATGTAGTTGATTATGCTCGAGAATTTAGAGCCCGCACAGCCAAATTTCGATTGAAACCAGAGCAATCAGCATTCTACCACTGGCTTGGCAATCCCAGCTCCTCACATACCAGTGGGCTCATCCACTCTGGCACAGTGGCTGAAGGGTAGATTGTCTCTGTTTGGGAATTGATCCAGCCTTCCAGGCTCATTACACCTACTCGCGGCGCCTCAGCTGCAGCCGCTTTCCAGGCTGTCATCTGTATGTCAGATGCCTAGCTGGCAGCCAATTGGAGCCAGCCTGATACATTTGTATCCCACTATAATGGTCACAAGCTGTGCTCAATAGCTCAGCCATTCATAATCATCCTTCCATTGTCCCTACTCAGCTGCTGCCTCTCCGGACTGAGGGTGCCTATGTTTCACCTACTGATAGTGCAATCCGTGGTAGTAACCCAACTGCAGTATTAGTATTTGTGGGAATATCCGAACATTGCATTCATGTACATTGTACAATGTGTAATGTAGTCTGGATGAGTGGCACTGTCTGTGCATCACTTAGGGTGCCGTAAATTGTGTGGAGGTTTTCTCTTGTCAGGCTAGTTACCCTGAGGAGTGAGTGCTGTTGTCCATGTTTGCACTGGATGACGTTCAACGGTTGTAATGCTATAATATTGCTTTTCCAGCTCTATCACTGTGGAGAATACATGTTTGAGCAAGTATTGGGATTTGGTCTCAGCCTTGTCTTTGAAAATCACACTGTCACATTCGAAGGCCGAGCCTCCGAAATGCAATCGTAAATTCCGCTAGGACCCTAAAGGTCTGACGTGGAATTAAGGTTGCATAAGGAGGTGAGGCTGAGAATGTGACAGTGTCCCACCCTCCCAGTGCAGTGATACCCCAGAACACTGTCACAGTAATCCATTCAAGAAACGGCTCAGAAAGGCCAAAGAGATTCTGGGAAGGGTTGGTTTTGGCGGGAAATGAGGTTGAATGTGTTTGTCTTTAAAGCGCTATGAATTATATGAAAACGGAGCGATTTTGGGCCTAACACACTGTCACATTCTCAGCCTCACCTCCTTATGCAACCTTAATTCCACGTCAGACCTTTAGGGTCCTAGCGGAATTTACGATTTTACACTTATACGGTGCATGTGACTCATTTTCGTACATTTTTGCGAACACGTGACTCATTTTTTTCTCATTTTGCCAACACGTGACCCACTTTCGGTCAGTTTTCCTACACGTGACCCAAGTTTGGCCTTGTATTGGAGCAAAAAGGGAGCAAAATATCGAGTGACCTGGCAAAATGAAAGCAAAATATCGACGATGAGGAAGCAAAATTTTGCGGCAAAATATCGACATTACCCTGGCAAAATCGGGCTTTGCCTACTACAGACGCGGGGTCCCTCGTACCGGTGACACTACCGGTATACCGGTATACCATGCACGGCCGCGTGGCACGAATGTACGGCCCACCTGCACGTGGACTTTGCTAAAAGGTGATGCTTTGTGCAACTAGTAAGTGCTCTCAGTACTCCAGCAGGGCGCAATGTATGCTTCGAATGAAAGAAAGAGAGCGGGAGCTGGAGAGAAAGTGTTTTGGAGCTTCTCGATCAAGTACGAGTCGTATTCCGATCCGAAAGGTGAAGCACGTGTTCTTATTTCCTACCCGAATAGTTAGTGTGAAGAAGGCACAATGTCGTCCCCAAAGGCTGCTGTCCCTTCGGATTTATTCCCCTACATTCATCAGTTTATAGTAGAATGTGGATTGACTAAAACTGCCGCTTCTTTCAAGAAGGAAGTTCTCCGGAGCACAAGCAGCAAGGTGGTAGGTGACATATGTTTTGATTTGTTTGCTTTGTAAAATTAGCTTGTATTCCCTTACTGGCCTTAGCTACAAACCCGTGAATATATTTCGAAGGCCAGCGAGGAAGTAACTAACGCTCTCTCTTTGTTGAGAAAGCTTACATCGAGGGACAGTGTTGATGCTGTCAGTGTGCATAGTACCTGGTAGCTTCATGGCTACTGCCTAGTACTGGAAGGGGCCTCCCACAACTGCATGGTATGGTGGTACATACGTTGTGTATGTATAAATTTGCCAAACATGAGGATTTCGCTGTGTACGCCATGGCGGGGTATCAAACCATGAATTACGCACCTGTAGGACGTCCATTTCAGAGAGGTGCACATCCTCCATTCTGAATGGGATGTGCGCAGAGAACATCCGAGACGGCTTGAACGTGTCTCATGGGAACATACCACATAATGGATTTATTCCCAAGCTTCGCCAAAGGTTACATGACCACGTCTGGTAGAGGGATATGTTCGCATATACCATGTGACCAAGTGATGAAGGGTGAGCGGATGGCGTGTACATGCGGTAACGCTTCTGTCACGCTGCCTACTTCGTGAGGCATGTGCTGCATGAGCAATTCGCTGCATGAGTGGTGCTTCCAGTCCATGCAAGATGAAGGTGGCTGGGGCGGTACAACTTTTTCGGGAAAATCTTGACTGCAGTTTTGAGTTTACCGGCAAGGTAGAGATGGAATGTTCATCTCCACCTTGCCGATAAACTCAAAACTGCAGTCAAAATGTACATAATGTACCATCATCATAATGCTGTTACTGGATTCATGGGCGGGCATATAATCGTCCACTGTTGTTGAGTGATGCCTTTCTATTGTGCTCCATGAGTGTACCAGTGCATTTATCCCCACTGATTCACGAATGGTCGTTTCAATACTGGTTTCTGTCCTATCTCGGCAATTTTGCTTTTTGCTCTGGTTTGGCAGAAACTTGATGACCCTCCGACAACCCTGCTTGAAATTTACCAGCATCATCTATCCAGGTACTGTAGGCTGCTCTTATGCGAATACTTACCTTGTTTGAAAAGGCGGCGTGGAGAAATTTGGAATACTTGTATCACAATGAAATATAAACTCTACAACGTCGTTATGTTGTGTGGCAATGTCTGGATTGATTATAGTCTTCATTGCTCTTACCTTGTTTTGTTTGCCGTCCGGACTGAATAGTCAGGGGGGGGGGGGGGGGGGTAAGCAGCAGCTTTCGGCCTGTTCATCACTAATTTAGTCCAAACTCCCACACCACATGCCCTCTCCAGCCAATCTCATTCACCACACCAGCAACACGACTCGCAAGTTCTTGTAGATAGTGGCACTAATAATTCCTCCAGGCAGTTGTTTCAACTTCACAGATCTCATCAATGGAGGTAGTAAAAATGTTGAATGGCTGGAGTTACTTGTAAGTAACACTGAACAAGTTGGCCGGAGAGTGCATGTGTTAGGGACTAATTTTTTCCTAGTTGAATGCTTGAACGATTACCCATTTATGTGGAGTGAGATAAGCTGAAACGGTTTTGTCTCGAGTAAACTGGATGTTGTATCGGTATTGTGCCGATCACATGTGGCGAGTGTCTCTGTACACATTATAGTACACCTGGCTGGCTTCTTTTAGAAGTTGATGTTGATGTGAACTGCCTGTGCCACGGCTTACAGGAAGCATGTGAGAGCTATGATCAGCTTGCTGGACTTCCTGTATTGATTTTCTGTTGACCCGACTGTGGGCTTTATTTACAGAATTTATGTGCATCTGCAAGTCACTAGAGAGGTTCTACTATACGTGAAACGTAGAGAAATCACGTAGAGAGCAGGTGTCTGGGTTAGAGTCTACGGCTTCGCGTGTTTTGGCTCCAGATTTGTAAGCGTAGCTGAGGTTCTCGACGCTGTGGCACACGCAAAGAAAATGCGTACGGATCTGCTGGGTATCATTCGAGTGCAGGCAGAAAACTGCCAAATATGGACGGAGAAATTCCCAATACACATTCCACCTGACTTCTCTAGGTGAAACGTAGAGCAGAACAGGATTTCTTTACGTTACGGGAACGCGAAGAGAGTTTGCGTGATTCTTTGCGTCGCGTTCCCGAAACGTAGAGCAGATCCTCACTCCTTACATGCTGCATTATGCGCTGGTTTTATTTCACTCCTGTCTGTCTGTCGTGTGCATGTTGTATAACACAGTGCTCGGCATGGAGCAGCGGCCAGCAGCAGCTCAAAGTCAGTGAAACAGCGTGTCGCAGCCGCACTGGAGCAGGACTTGTCAAAGAGGTTAGCGCATTTTGGAGGGCACCTGAACTGTCTGTGTGTTGTCCTATTTGTGTGCTTCCCACCGCCAGTAACTGATCAAGCTTGAACTGTAAACTGTTGCGAGTTTCTGGTTGCGTTACTAGTATTCCAATGCTCTGAACATCTTGTTTGCTTCTGACAGTGCTTACAAAGGCATCACAGTAAAGGATGTGGCCAAGGGCAAAGCTCTGCCAAAGAAAGTGCAAGAGTCGTCATCTAGGTAGGGTTTAGACTGCCAGCACACATAGTGTACACGTACAGTGTGTATGTGTGCAGGGTCGTGTTGACTTTGTCAGCGTGACCATCTGTATTTCCGTGTCCTGCCTCTTTCTCTCTCTCTCTCTATCCGCCACTGTGGATACTAGATAGTCTTATAGGGAGCTCAAGGCCGGGGTTGGTTGCGCCTGTTCTTGCTTCCATTGCTGCTACATTCAGTGGAGTTTAAATTATTACAGTGCTGCTCAATGAAATCCGATCACGTGAGGCAAGTCTGCGCCCTGCACCATTTCACAACTTCACATCCCAGTGTTCGTAGGTCTAGGACTGCACACTAGTGCACAGCGCCTGGTGTGGCAGCGGCTCGCCTGATCGGATTTCATTGAGCAGCACTGTATACCGCTTGTCCCAGATGCTATCGCTGACTGCTGTCCTATACCGTGTTATCGTTGTGTATTGCGTGTTATCGTTGTGTAGCGAGAGTAGTGATGACAGTAGTGACGAATCAGAGCCACAAACCAAGAAGGCGTAAGTACTCTTGATGTTGGTGATCTTGTTATAATTGTACTTCGAATACATGCAAGTCGTAATGGCCAAGAATGCAGTTGCTGTGCAAGGCTGAGTCTCCCCGTCTGGGAACGGGACAGTGTTTGTGCCTTTGTGGCTTGCAGTTAGTGGTATTCCCACGACTGGTAAGCCACCAGGAAGCATCAGTACGATAATGGATTTTTTGAATTTTTTTCACTTGTGGTGATATCTTTCTGGGAAGGGTGCACCCAAGCCGAAGTTTTCTACTAGTTTGAAGAAAACCTGTTGTCTTTGTTTACACTCTGCAATACAATGCTTGCATTTTACTTCTAGCTACTACAGAAGTATTTGATTATGTTCTTGGGGTAGCTGCTAGCGGATGATTCTAGTGCGTGCACGCATGCACACGCGCATACACATGCACATGTACGATGTGTAAAAGAAAGAATATGTTTTGTGATCCTGCCACGTGTGTTTCATTAGCAGCACTTGCACACGTTTTAGTCATGTTCATATTCCAATGTGATCGTCTTTCTCATGTTTTTGTCAATCAGGCCTGCCAAGAAGCCGGCAGCCAATGGCAAGTCGGCAAAGAAGAAGGCACAGGAATCATCATCATCATCATCATCATCATCAAGCTCCAGGTATGTTGGGGTTGTGGACACCGGACTATCCCTTGTTTGACATGTGCCACGACTACTACTGCTAATTCGACCATGCATGTGCATTGTGCAGTCAACGAGCCATGACTCAGTCAAACTTTGACTGAATTCAATAATCGAAAATTCGAAATACCTACGAGGTAGCAGAGATTCTCAACTGTAGGCTCAAAGAACTCCGAGGCCGATGTGAGGTAGTATAACGGAATGGCAGACGCTCAAACTTTTATTTCATTTCCCGCGTCACTGAAGTGCAAATTTTGTTGAAAAGCCGGACTTTCCCTGCTTCCCACAGTGTGGGACTTTCCCTGCTTCCGGCAGTATGGGACATCACTCTCAGTGCTTGTTACCACAGCTTTTCTGAGTCTGTTCTAAAACAAATTGAATGATTTTGAGCCAGCACGCGTGAAATGGCGAAACAAGAGCAATCCCCGGTTTGGGCCTGGCATTCAGCTGGCTTTCCTGGCGTACCGTAGCAGACCGCAATGACTCTGACTGGACAGGTTTGGGCTCGCTGTCATCTCCGTTCCAAGAGCTTTCCATTGAGCCTGAGGTTGTTTTTAACTTTAAACAACCGAGCTCAGGATGGAATTGGTTGATTTCAGATTTTGAATTCGGACCGATGTACACAATGCACAAGGCCACATGGCGTTGAACCGTTCTGCAAGGTAATGAAGCCCATAATAATTATGTGGTGCTACAAGTGCATATCCATCCGGACTTTATTTGCAGTAACTGTAGTTCGATCGACTTGTGCACACGTACGCATGTACTGCTGTGGCACTAATATTGAATGGGTTATGCTGTTACTCAGAAGTTCGGTTTTTGCCAGGCATTCACATGTTCAAACTTGCATGTAGCTACAACGCTTTCACATTTTACCTGCGTGTTTTGCCACTGCTCTGGTTTTTGTGCAGTGACAGCAGTGATGAATCCGAGCCTGAGCCTGTGAAGAAAACGTAGGTGTTGAACCACTGATGCTCACAGTATTGCTAACGGCCTGTGCCAACACACACACACACACACACACACACACACACTGTTGCTTGTTAGCGCTGTGAGCTTGGTCTTAGCTTAAGAAACACACGTGGCTTCTGCAATTAAATGACCGGTTTTACTTTTGATGTACAAGCAATGGTACGCTGTGGTGTGAAGTGAGAATTGTTCAAGGAGTCGGAGGTGAGATATAGCTTTGTTCAAGCATGAAAAGAAAAAATCTGACAGGCTAGATAATCATACTTCCTCCGTTAACAAAAACTTCGTGATGGATTTTGATGGATATGAAAACGCTTAGAACAGGTCAAGAACAGTTTGTATCGACTGCAAATCACTGGACGAAGGTGATTCAGCCTATGTACAGCGTCTTTACAAGAGAAACTGTTAGCGGAATGAGCAGAGAGTTCAGTTTGCGTCGCTTTCGCTCGATTCATGTTTGACCTGCGTCGCTTTCGCTCGATTCATTTTTGACCTGCGTCGCTGTCGTCATCTGCTGCACGCGAGTTGTCATCTGCTGTACGCGAGTCGTCATCTCTCTAGACAAGAGTCGTTGTTCAGCTCCTTTCAGCCTTGCCTCAGCTTCTTTGATCACACTCCGCTGACCTTGATGTCGCCGTCGTTCAGGTAAGTTGGCTTTCAAGCTACATGATCCGCCGCGATGGCGATTACTCGTTTCCACCCGGGAGTCGTGAAAAATATTTTACGACCCCCTGGTTTCATCTTCGCTCTCCAGAACTCCGCGAAACGAGGAGTAAAGGCACAGTCAGACTGATTCCATTTTCTCTAATGGATACCACCACTGAACGGCAGCGGCTAGCAAGTCCAGTCGACTTTCTTTAGCCACGAGACTCGCATCGGACTGCAGACTTCTGAAAGAATGCATGGTCATCAGCATTCGAATCTGGACTTTGCGCAGGTTGAACAAGAACTTGAGTTCAGAATTGTTTTCATTGAGCCGTGCGATCGGAGCAGCTCCTTGTTCACTCGCTCATTGTGTGGGCTCGCTGCTCCGTTTTATCGCTCTCTATCACTCTCCAACTTACTCAGCGCTAAAGTGGTAGAGAGGCCAAGCAGCGCAATATCCCCTCGGTGAAGTGGTATTTCAGTTTCGCTCGCCATGACTGTCATCACCTATGTTTCCACAGCGCAACCATCGATTCCGCTCGGCTTGTTGTGAAAGGTCGCTTTCATTGCATTGTACCTCTGTCATGGCATGCCAGGGAAGGCCAAGAAAGTGATTGCGACTTATTTCACGGCAGTTTGTGCCCAAATCAGCCCCTCAAAATTCCATCACGAAGTTTTTGTTAACGGAGGAAGTAGTTTTATCTCTTTGGAGCAGTTTCCCCGAGAGTGGAGGAGCACACTTGAATTCATCTTGCTGTCCATATTTGAGTACATGCATCATTGATTTTCCATTGTTTAAAAATTAATGTGTCATTCTTTTCTTGCAGGCCGGTGAAAAAGCCCGCCACAGCGAGCAAAGCAGCAGCAAAGCCGAAAGCAGCAGCGAAGAAAGCACAGGAATCATCGTCATCAAGGTTGGTTGATCTACAACTATAATTAGAGAGGTTCTGATTCATGGCAAACGTAAATGCTTATGGATCAGGTGCATGTCACTCACATTTGGCAGCAGGCCTTCGGAAGACGGCCGTGTTCTGAATTGGAAGTTCCCAGTGCATACTCCATGGCATGTCTTTGTGCAGACATAGAGCAGAGTATCTTCTGTGCCATGCATGACGCGCGAGAATGCTCAAATACCCAAATATTTGCTTTGCATTCTGTAACGTAGAACAGAACCTCGTCGTTTATACCGGTGTAATTACTAGGGGTTTAGCCCGATACTAGTGCTGCAAGGAGAGTCGTGAGGGATGGGGGTACTACTCACCCTTCTTTATCTGGTTAAAGCAGTGCACTACTGAACTGCCTGGTCCAGTGCAAATGCAAGCACAGTTCCACTAGAATTAACAACTTGGCCTTTTCAGCTACAATGAACTATGTATCAACGGAGCAACCCTAGTCAAGCGATGTTCATTTTATGGAGGGCGGCTACTTCTTGTTGAGAGGGTTCCCAAGTGTTGCATTCGTGCTTTGATGCTTTCTTGATTTGCACAGTGATAGCAGCAGTAGCAGCAGCAGTGATGACTCTGAGCCCGAACCTATGCAAGTAACGTGAGTTGACCGTGTTCCTTCTGTACTCTGTTGTCACGCTGGGAATTACTACCATGCCCTGCACTGTGGCTCAGTTTACATGACATTTCGCGCAATGTTGTTGATTTGACACATTGGTAGACTGCGTGCATGCCGCTGTACAGTGCAAGTGCTGATTTCGCCTTATACAGTCTCTTTCTGTCTTTTCTCTGTTCAATGGCAAACTTTTTAATTCTCTGCTTCTCGGAGTAAGCTAGCTGTGTTGCTCATGGAATTACTAATATAAATGATGATGTATTGTTGTTGCTGCTGCTGCTGCTGCTGCTGCTGCTGCTGCTGCTGCTGCTGTTGTTGTTTCTATCGCTGTTGCTGTTGCTTTGTGCATGTGATTTACAGACCTACCAAGAAGCCTGCCAAGAAGCCTGCAACACCCGCCAAGGCTTCTGCCAAGAAAGCTGCCAAAGATTCCTCATCTAGCTCCAGGTACTTTAGCTTACTCGTACATGTATACGGTATGTGTCGATGACAAAGATCTCTCAACTTGTGTCTTTCATGTTGGACTATGTCCTTATCGTTGTTAACTATGTACATGTATATTGCCTTTGTTTTGGTAAAGCTTGTGATGATGTCTTTCACTCGTCCCTTGGTCTGTTTGTCTTCATTATTGTGATGATAGCTCTTCAGACAGCAGCAGCAGTAGCAGCAGCGATGAGTCAGAGCCTGAGCCTCCCAAGAAGAAGCCGTGAGTTAATTCTGCCTGAGAAGCATGCAATGATGAGTGATATGCTGTGTAGTCACTAGATGTTGCTAGCATCACGATCCTGCTATTTGGCCCCGTTCTCCTCTAACACAAATGCGTAACCCTCAGAGAGTGTGCCTCTCTTTTTTTTCAAAGTCCATCACAGGTGGGGCACTATTCAAGAGAGGATACTAGTTTTTCAAGGCTGGTACATTTACGTCATCCAGCATAAAAATAAAGATGGCAAAGAAGAACAGGGTCTAAAATTTGCAATAAACTTTCATGACTCAACAGAAACTGCAACAAGTACTGCGATTTTGATCCTGAATCCTCCAGTGCAAATACATGGACAAGAAAATTATTCTGTTCTGCCTTGTGGACAAGAACATTAGCAAAACAACACCAAACTTACATATGTGCTTGACTACAAGCCCAGGGAGGGCGCACTATTCAAGAGAGAGCTTTAGTTTTCCATTGGCTCACAGAGACAGTTGCACTATTCAAGATAGGGCTCTAATTGCGCCAGGATGGTGATTACGGGAGCAGCTATGTCACCTTTGTCACTTGCATGTGCTTAATATTTGGACTTTTTTCTTTGCGCCTTTTGCACACATCAGAGCCGCCGCTAAGAAAGCACCTACACCCAGCAAACCAGCAGCCAAGAAAGCTGCTTCCAGCTCCAGGTACAGCGTAATCCTGTTAATTTGAATACACGTCTGAACTGTGCGATTTGTTCAAAGTGCTTCTATGCGGGTGTGCTTATATACTTCTCCCTGTTGACCTGCCGCACCGTATGTCGTTCGCTGATAGCATACTTATTATTGAGCAGATAGAATATTACGCCAGCTCGAAATTCCTCTGTTGGAGAATATGAAAGATGAAATATTCTGTGCAAACTTAGATTTAAACTGACAGTTCATTTTCTGACTACTTTCTTCCTCTTGCCCAGTGAAAGCAGCAGCAGCAGCGAAGAGAGCAGTGACAGCAGTGATGATTCGGAACCTGCTCCCAAGAAGAAGACTGCTGCGTAAGTCATGCTCGCACTTCTGATGCCACTTTTTTTCCTTTAGAAGGAGGAGCTTCCTAATAATAATCGCAAGTTTCAGAACCTCGCATCACATCGCTGGCCTCAAGCGAAGGTCCCTGGTTTGATTCCTTGTCCCCGATTGCGTTCATCGCATATTCGAAACTGCATGTGCAACGTCCAAGGTGTACTCGTATCAAAGTTCACGTATTTCTTGAGCGAATCTCCTAATCCTTTTTCCACATTGTGTCACCGCTCTCTCCATTCAGCACAATCTGGAAACAACCGGTTTGGTGTGACCGTTGCCGTATTTGGGCTTTGAGCCTGTGACAGCAGTGTAGGCACTCCAACATGTAATACTCGTACTCTTAGCGCTGCGTTGCATAAGCTGCGATGCACGCTTTGGTACAGTTTTTACGGTGGAACGTCCTCCAAAGTCCGTCATTTTGCACCATGTTGCTGTCTCATTCTAGATAAGGTCAAGTATTTGGCATAGGCTGGCGTGCCTACATAGATGTAGCAGTGCCGGCTTGCCCGGTGCGTGCTGGCTTTCTGTAACAGCGCTTGTATATACTGTACAAGCAGAAAATTTCGTCGGTCAATAATTTCGTCCAACTCCAAAGATAGGGAGTTCGTCTGGTTGTATATTTCGTCCATGGATCATAAGAGTGTATTGAAAAGCTGAACAAACCGACATTAGTCCGTCATGTAATTTAGTCCAGAAGCTCCTTGGACAAAAAAGACGAAATTAAATTCCAGACGAATATTTCTTCTTATACAGTATATAATACTCATAAAAAGGACACACTTCAGGCTCATTACGAACATCTTGAAAGTTTTGGTTTTCACAAGTATCCTTTCTGTATTTCACCTGATGAGAAGGCTTGAAAGTATACTTGTGAAAACAAAAACTTTCAAGATGTTCGTAATGAGCCTGAAGTGTGTCCTTTTTATGAGTATTATCGCATTTTTGTCTCAGAGGAAACTGTATACAGTACTAGCAGCACCACCGGCCAGCGTTGCCTGGCCGAATGTGGCATGCGGGTGAAGCAAGTACATGAACAGCACACGTGCTCAGCACGTGGTGGTGGCCAGACCGCTGAAGTCCTGGTGAGGGAGGTTCTTCATCGTTGGAAGGAGAAGGAGGGACGTCTGTTACGCCTTCGGGAGGCTGGTCAGGGTTGTCCATCACCTGGTGGCGGATGAAGCGGCTCAAAAAATTCATAAACTTACGAACAAAAGTGCGATGCGCTCTTCACTGCAGATCAGATGCAGAGTGCAGTCAGTGCAGATCTTTTGTATCCTTTTGTTGCAGATGTTTCTATTTGCAGAGAACGGTTCACGTGGTCCGCAGCGCTTGTGCGGCTGCTAGTGCTACCTATGGCCTAGGCTAGGTGGCTACATGATTCGCACGCTTCGCGTGCTCAGTGCTTCTGCGCGCGGCTGTTACTGCTACTCGTACTGATCGTGTCTGCTACCACCTACACTGTTCGCACGCTTCGCGTGCTCAGCACGTGGTGGTGGCTACACGATTCGCACGCTTCGCGTGCTCAGTGCTTCTGTGGCTGCTTCCGCTAGCTACACGATTCGCACGCTTCGCGTGCTCAGTGCTTCTGCGGCCGCTAGCTACACTGTGCTACACTGTTCGCACGCTTCGCGTGCTCAGGGCAGCGTGACACAAAAACACACGTCACAGGTGCCTCTTCTTTATAAGGAGCGTGACACACACACACACACACACACACAGACACACGTCACAGGTGCCTCTTCTTTATAAGTAAAGATATGCGTACGATAATTGTAACTGCAGGACCAAGAAGGCTGCCACCCCAAGCAAGGCCGCAACCAAGAAGAAGGCTCAAGAATCTTCTTCCAGCTCTAGGTGAGGCTGGATGCTATGTAACTTACATGTATATGATGGTGTGCTTGGACAGGGGGCAGGTGGGAGTTGGGCTTGATTTTATTATCCTGTGCTGCACGTAATTTCTATGCTTGAGGGCGGGGGGGGGGGGGGGGGTGTTTTGTATCCGCAATGCTACCTAACAGTATGGGCAAGTATCAATAGCCAAGTATACTACAGTGATGTCTTTTTTATGGGTCAGATCAAGTGTGTAGCTCGCTGCCTTCATTACATCATAGAGCTGCATACACTGCAGAAAATCGAACATCACACTTTCCCTGTGGTTTGATACAAACTTTCATAGAGAACTGAGGAGTGAAGCTCATGCACACTAAGTTTAGAGATTGTGTCAATACTCTAACGAGTCAGTCAAAAAACGGCTGTGCAGGTACAAGTGATTGCGGGTTTTAGTGCATAGGTACGCACAGGGCATGGCGCAGGCAAGTTACGTCATGAAGGCAGCATGTCCCGCATTGACCCATATCACAGTTGCGTACTCTAGGTTATGCCACCTGCCAGTATGGCAGATGGCAGTGTGTAGAAGTCTGCATGCGGAATAATTGTCTCTTTGCATTGTGCGTTGTGTTTCGTTTATTCAGCAGTGACAGCAGCAGCAGCGATGACAGCAGTAGTGAGGAGTCGGAAGCTGAACCAGCAAAGAAGTGAGAACTGGTAGTTCTAGTTGTAGTGCACATGTAGATGTCACATCACAGTGGTCGCTAGACCACCACTCTGCCAACCGGCGCTCTGGTTGCAGTCAGGAACACTGTTTCAAAGTAGTGTGTCCTCCGCCTTGTCATGTGCCGCCATCATCATACAGGGAATGCGTGAATGGGTGTATGTATGTGAGTATGTGTATGCATACGGGAATGTGTGTGTGTATATGCATGTTCAGGGAGAATGCCCATGTACAGCAGATGCATGTACATGTATGTTGCCATAATACTTAATAGTGCAAAGTACGCTTTTGTTGTGATGATCTGAGGCAAAAATCTGCAGTAGATTGTAGGAAACATCAACTGTTCTAGTATGCAGTACAGTAGTAGCGTGGTCTCTTTCAAGCACACTTGCTCCCAGCGTGTTGAGCTAACCCTTCCGTGGCTTCATCGACCTCTTTTTTTTATTACACACTTACAATGTGCATGTGTGTTTTGTGGTGTGTGGTGCTCAGGAAAGCAGCAGCAAAGAAAACTAGTGCCAGTGCTCCCGTCACTCCTGGTAATTGATGAGCTTCTCGTGCTTCTCTAAGTCTTCTCCAGCTCTTCCCTCTCCCACTCTTCTTCGCTGTTTGGTTTCTCAATTTATTATGGCTTCATGCGGCACCTGCACAGACTATGACTATGATGTGTGTGTGTGTGGTTTTGCAATCGTGTTCTTTTGGACACCCAGACAGTGTCTGCCTCTCTCCTTTCCTCTTGTGTTGCAGTGAACAAGAAGCGGAAACATGAAGATGATGAAGGTCAGTATTGACTTGACTGAAGTGTACAAGACTACATTGTGCAGACTCTCCAGTCTCCACAGATATGTATAACCTGTCTGTAGACACCACTACAATCAGACATCACCGAACCCATGCGTCAGCGTGCATTTTGACCTGTGTAGAACGACAGCCGTTTCCTAGTCTGCTAATGTGTGTGTTGTGTCATAGCGAGGCATATTCATCAGGTTCATAATGGGTGTAAATCACGCGGGATGTGTAAACTCACTTGGTCGAGCGTAATTGGATCTTTGCGTCATAATGCCGTACACATCTGAAGGGAACCCGGGGAGTCGCGGGTACTCTCGGATCAAAAACAACGGTGCCCTGCCTCGAGACCGGCCTTGTGCTGGTGTGGAGTGTACGCATGACATTAGAAGATCCGATTACGCTCGACCAAGACCCTATGCAGAGCTGGATCAGGCGTTGCACACTCTGGGGGGGTATGTACTCTTGGTACAGTGGTCCCTCTATAATCCGGCACCATTTGTGCCACGAAAATCTGCTGGATTAACAAATCTGATTTACTGCTGCAATGTACATGAAGAGGACATTTTGGCTACTGAAAATTGTGCTGGTTTATCGAGGGTGCTGGATTATAAAGTGCCGGATTAGAGAGGGACGACTGTAGTATGTTTCTGTGTTTTTGAATGTGACTGTGTCCTTTCCTTTCAAATTTCCCACCTCCAGATGAAGCACCAGTGTCCGCTGGAAAAGCAAAGAAGTCCAAGGTAAGCGTCCTGTACCGTGTTTTCTTTATAATAAACACAGCTTCCTGTAACAGCACGCTACATACGCATAGTAAAAATAGGAGTAACTGCCAACAGTCTGCAATGAAGATACTAGTACACTCGTCCTTTTCCTATAAGAAAATTACTTACCTTTTTGCATCTTTCCCTCAAAGAGAATAAATGGGCTTGTGAAAGCACATTCTTCTCTATAAGGCATCTCCGATAAAAGCATGGCCTGGAGGGAGTTTGAAAAACAAAGAGGGTGCGTGCTTTTTACCAGTAATGCACATGGTGCACATTGATGAAGTGCTTACAAGATGTGCAGGAACTGGTCAAACGAACTTGGTGCTGTACTGTTTTTAGATCTGCGAAGCATGAAAGTGGCTTGACAGCGCCCATTTTGTCCTCAAAATATGTACGGATAACAACACAATGACATCGTGCCGTGGTTTATAGAGGTACAATGGTATCCCTGTTGGAGCCTTGACCAGGTTTAAACTTGTATCTCTTTAGGGTCTGGTGGATGTCTTAGACATATCACTGTTGTTTGGTTCAGGCTTTTATCATTGTCAGTATTGGTTCGCGTATTGCTTCTTTCAAGTGCTTGTTTTCGACTTTGGGTGTGTTCCCTGGATATCCAGTCTCCTGGCACGCCATTCCGGCGCATCATTTCAGAAGAGATTACAGTCGACTCGCGACTCCAGGACAACTCATTCGAAGCAAAGGTTAGCATTGTGTTCTGTTACTTTTGTGTGCATGTTCACCAGTCAGTATTTATATGCATGTAAAGAGAGCATGTGCAAGTCAGATTCTGGTATGATATTTGTCTGTCACCCTTGTCCTGCCATGATTGGCTACCACCTCTGTCAGAATTTCATCCTGTAGCTGGTAGTCTGTGTGACATGCCATGAGATATTGCAACACACTTACAACAGCCCCAGAACCAGGCAAATTGTGCTATGTATCGACCAGTATAGTGTGCTGCTGCCTGCGTTCCACCTGTAATCGGGCTGGTGCGTGCGTGTACCTGTGTGTATGCCTGTGTGTATGCATACATGTGTTATGTGTGTGTGCTTTACAGAAAGGATCACCGGGTGACTGGGGATCCCGTGCCAATGACTCACTGAGAGTCACAAAGGGTGAGTTTTTTTTGTTTTCTTGCCTTTCTGACCTATTGTCGGCGGAATTTGTCGCACTATACTCTGCTGTGTTCAGTATAATTATGTAGATTGGACTATCGCCCAGGCAGGCATTAAGTAATATTATTTTACTGCAATCCTTGCCTGTGTGTTGTGCCCTTAGGCAAGTCGTTCCGTCATGAGAAAACGAAGAAGAAGCGTGGAAGCTACCGTGGTGGTGCTATCGACATGGGTGTCAACTCGGTTGTGTTCGACAGTGACTGACCTCGCACTGCTGATGGTGGATAGTAAGTTGGCGACGCACGTCCCACTGTTCAACCCTATCCCCCATTCACTGCAGGCGTCGAATGCAGAGTTCTTCCCTGCATTCAGATGGTGTTACATCTCCCGTGGCGTTTTGCCCGGACAAGATCTGTCCGGTAACGAACAAGCATCAAAAGTGCCAAGCAGCTCCCTGACTTGCTTCCGAAGCCTACTAGTATCTTCCTATCCGGTCGATGTGTGCTTTCTCCGCAGGAAATTGCCTTCCTGCTGTTGGTAAAGTCCTGATGTGCTCGCTGCATGTGGGCTTTTCGTATTCTGCTCAGCATCAATAGGCAGGCACTGCCTTGCTCCACTGCTGGTGAATATTTTTTTGGATATTGTCTATATTCTGCTACCGCCAGTGCTTGAATGCTTTATTCTTGAACATGCATGTGAAAGTCTTGCACGGCAAACTCTCTCCCTCTCTGTAATTTATGTAGTACTGATCAATCGAGTGGCGCCATTATCATGGCCGTACCCTGAGCAGGACCAACTCTCGAAGGAACATGGTTGGGACTCTAAGGGGTCGTCGCAAAAGTTTTTTGTCGTCCCTGAAACGAACAACATTCGTTTGAGGGGGGAGGGGGTGCGTGCCAAAATCGCAAGTCGCCCGACACTGTACATATGTGCATGTACGCGCATGCGATTTTCGTTGTCCAGCATAGCAAGCTGCGTTCGTTTCAGAGGGAGGAGAGGGGTCCAAGTACGCAATGAATGATGTTCGTTTCAGGGACGACAAAAAAACTTTTACGATGACCCCATAATGCAGTGCTGCTCTATGAAATCCGATCAGGCGAGTCAATGCCACACCGTGTGCTGTACAGCCCTAGGTCTGCGAACACTGGGACGGCGAACTGGTGCGGGGCGCAAACTTGACTCGCGTAATCGGATTTCATTGAGCAACACTATGGAATCAGTATCACCCCAATTGGGATGTGGCCCACTATGGGCATCCTGTGCCCTGCCTGGAGCCTATGACTATTGGTGAAACTGCTATCGCAGTCAACCAAGAGTACTCTTGACATAACTGGTGAAGCCATAATATTCAACCCCCAATGCAGACCTGGTCTACACCATCACATGGAGTGCCTCGGGGAGATCCCCCGATATGGCCAACATCAAAGGCTTTGGAAAGCCAGCTAGGCTAAGCAGCACCACCACCCACGTACACACACAAACAGCATGGTTTCCCACACGCCGTGCAAAATTACTTGCACGGCAAGAAATTCAGACCTATGAATACTGGCAACATAAGCGGATGATCAACTCAATATTGAAGCCAAATAAATAAAGACCAGGCTAACAGCACGGAATTTGGACAGTATCATTCTTAGTATCATTGCATTCTTGTCTCCGAAGAAACTGTTCACGAATTGGGACATGTTTTTATAACTACTAGTATCAATTATCTCGAATCTTTCATAAGAAAAGTAATCTACCGGTACCGCTAGAAATTGGTCTTACTTCTACTAGTAGCAAGACCCATCTGTCACCGCGTACCGGTGCACGGCAGTCACGGAACGGTAGCGACTTGTGGCTTCTTGCTGGCATGTGTACCACTCACACGCTAGTACTAACTAGATGTATTTATTTAAAATGTGCGCCAAGGGCAAGAAGCCTTACTATGGTTATTGGGAGGTAAGGTGGCTAAGAGGACTAGGACTAGGAGGACTTCCGTGCCTTCCGCAGACTACCATCCTCCTGCAACATGCGTCTGGCTCTGACAATGACGAAGACTGAAACAGCGGCAAACACGAGAGGGACCAGCACGACGGCGCCAACAGTCGGCGTCAGCGGAAACTCTGACAGTCGCGTTTCAATGTCAATCTGAATGGCTTTATGCTCCTGCAGGAGGCTGAAGGTGAGGAAGACGTGCATCCACTGGTGACTATGGCCCACAATGTCAAAGTATCCTGGGAAGAAGCGTTCCGGGCACTTGCTCATGTTGCTGAGTGCCGCTAGTAGATTCCAGAAGTACTGCCAGAAGTGGTTTGTCAGACTGGTGGTGCTGAACACGTTGCTAGTGCTCAGGAACAGCCGCGCCCAGAACGGGAACATGTTGACGGTGAACGCCACCACGTAGCCCAGTGTGCGCACGATGTAGCGCATCGGCTGCCAGTGATGACGTGTCAGGCACATGACGATGAAGATGAGAAAGTGATTGGTGACCAGCAGCGGGACGAACACCCACGGCTGAAAGAGCCCGGTGTCCAAGAGCCACTCGCCGGTGGCATTGGGTTCATCCGACGGCATTATACCGCACAGATAGTAGTGAGCCAAGCCGCTGCACAAGCTGTAGAAGCCGATGGCACCGTAGTCGCAGAAGAAGCAGGTGTGCCGTGCCCGTGCTGACATGCAGTTGAAGCAATGTGCCAGGCTGCTCGTGACCAGCACCACGCCTGTGCCTAGCAACATCATGGCCAGCGGGAGATAGTGAGCAGCACCGTTGGCACTGCCAAACCCCTCTGCTCTGTTGAACAGCTTCCAGCTCTCATGAAGGAAATACAACCCTGGCAAGAGGTGGGTCCAGACATTCACGGTCTCATTGCTAAGCCAAGTTGTACAGCTACGCATTGTGTCGACATACCCGATACCTAGTGGCCGATAGCCTCTGATCAAGAAGTTCTCGTGCAGTACCTTTGCCGCATCTCGGACTTTGAGCAGCCTGGTTAGTCTGGGTGGTGGTGGTGCCATCCAGGCTTTTCAAGCGCTACGGACTACCTGTGCAAAATGAGAAACAGACACACACACACACACACACACACACACACACACACACACACACACACATGCACGCACACACACGCACGTACGCACGCACGTACAGAGTGACAAAAAGCACAAAGAGTAGGAATGAAGGACAGTAATGTAGTCAGTGGACGGTGAACAGAGGCAGGCTGTAGCATGGTGTACACTGTGCATCAGTGCAATCATGGCAACGGTCTTTTGTGGTATAAAGTGGCAGTGTACTACTGCCTATCGGGGCACATGTCAGAACGCTCCGACCTTGGAACGGTTTGTACTGCCACAATATACGTCACAGTGCTGCCTAGTAACGTATGTCAGCAGGAATGTAATGCAAACAATTAACAGCACACCCAGTTGTCTTGAGTTTGACACACATGCAAACACACCCTGTCGGTCCTGATGCGATACACAAGCATCATATAATTGATTCGTGCATAACCAGTTGTTAACCAGCATCATTGGTTCAACCTCACGCTGCGGCTAGCATAGCAGCTCTGTTCTGACTGACGAAAACCAACGAAGAAAACACCCCTCGGCACATACACTAGCACCTAGCATACCATGGTATAGAGATTAGCGCCGATTACATCATCGGTTGAGATGCTTTTGGCAAAGTTGTGGCACAATGATTCACTAGTGATTCGTATAGATATTATGCGAATGAGCTCACGGTGGTGAGTCAGCGGAACCCTTATGTGCACTATGTATACAGCGTGAGTCGCTACTCGCTAGTGCAGATCAGACTGCCGGTCGGTTACCCATTATAGCTGAATAAATAAACCGCTAGCCTCAAGTGAAGGTCCCTGGTTCGAGTCCCGGTGGTGACAGCCAATTTTTCCTTCAGTTCCCCCCCCCCCCCCTCCCCCTTCTTTAACACCGTACCCTCAACTGATGAAAATAATAATGTGTTGTATACTGTCAGTTTTTGCACGCGACCTGTACTGCTGTAGATCTACCTAGTAGGTCTACCTGGCGGTTTACTCACTCCTGTATGCAAGTGCGCGCACTACGGCTAGGATCTACACAGTACCCAGATCAACAGTACACCAGATACACTGGTACAGACTCAGTCATCTGCTCATGTCATTATTTGACAGCTTGGAAAAAAGGAAAGCCAGACTTGAAGTTGAAGTGTAAATGCAGCATACTTTTATCCAGCCGCTAGCGCACCCGATCGTCCAAGACTATTATCTATCAGGCAGAACAAGCCGTGCTAACTGCACATCCCTAGCACTGCGCGGCATAATCGTGTAGTGCCCGTCCGCGTCCAGAGGCAAGCAACCCGATCGACGGCAGCACAAATCAGGTTCCGAATTCCAGTACTTCACTATGTAGAAACGACTTCGAACAAAACATTTCCCAGCACTGAAGGGCCTGGTCCGAGTGCAGCTATCGTCCGTGCCCGATCCTTGCCTACAGCTTCACTTCAGTCCAGTTTGGTATTACAGGACAAACGATATCCACCTGGACAGGACCACATCGAGCACCACTGCCGCGCACGCACTGCGCGCGCGACCAGGTCCAGGAAAGGACGACTCAGGGCGTCCGGAGTCAAAGATGACTCTGAGATGGCTCGTGCTCACGATCTTGACTGCAACAGCTGCGGCGGGGGCAGCGGCGGCAGGAAGTGATACACAGCCAGTACCAGTGGTAGTGGGTGAACAGGCGAGCTGCTCTTCGGACAGTGATTGCCAGCTGAATGGGGTTTGCGTGAGTGGCTCTTGTAAGTGCGACCCGGGCTGGCAGGGAAAACAGTGCGGTGTGTTGAAGCTTGTCCCAATACCGGAGACGGCCTTCTTCAGGCAGCCAGGCCTATCTACATGGGGCGGTAGCGTACTTTACGAGCCCACTGATAAACTGTGGCACATGTGGCACTCGGAGATTGCGGGCAATTGCACGTTATCGCAGTGGCGCACCACCTCTCAAATACGACACGCCACTGCACCGTCCGCAGTGGGTCCGTGGACACCACACGAAGTGGTAGTCACGCCAGAGGCACACAATCCACAGGTGCTACGCTTGGCCGACGGCACGCTGCTACTGTTTGACAGCTACGGTGGCTATGATACACACTGGACACCTTGCAAGAAAGACGACAGGGATTATGTGCTTGGACCGGGAGATGTTGAACCCCCACCCTGCAATGACCCTGGCAACGGAAATCTGACCATACACGTGCTGCCGGCTGGTGCCGATCTGAGTAGTTCTACCAGTTGGCAGCGGCGCTCGGTCCCGATCAACTACCCATGCCGTAGCTGTAACCTTACTCCATCTCCAGTGCTGATCAACGGCACAGTGTACCTAATGCTACACTGCGATACCGACGACAAGCACAACACCTGTGACTTGGTCATGGTGAAAGCTACAGACCCGATCAAGGGTCCGTACGCGGCCGTGAGCAGTCGTGTCTGGAACAGCTCCGAAGCACCTGGCCACCCGGAGGATCCGGGGATGTGGGTCGACCGGCGCGGCAACTGGCACGTGCTCCTGCACAACGGACCGCACGGGCTGCATCTATGGTCCGGCGATGGCGGCATGACATTTCACACGAGCAACACCGAGCCGTTCCCATTCACAGTGAACGTGACCGTAGCAGGGTCGCAGTCGCCGGTCAAGCTGGCCCGGCGAGAGCGTCCAGTGATGGTGCTCGACGAGCACAGCTTGCCCAGCGTGCTAGTCATGTCCGCTGGCATGGATAGTCATGACAATGTGTTCACTATGACACAGATGATTGACAACAGCTAGCAAACAACATCGTAAAAGCGCGCCCCCGAACCTATTTGTACTGTCGGCGTATAAAATAAAATAAGAAACGCTGCGAAGTAATAGTGATACGTTGATAACAATAACATCCGGGACAGGTTGGCACTGGCATTTCCCTGCTCCAGACACTGTATCTCACATAGTCATGATCTTTCCACGTATTTCATGAGCCGGAAACCTACGAGTAGCAGGATCTCATTACAGGTACCGTAAAGTACCGTTGATCTGCCCCCTCTCTAATTTCCACCCTCTGTCAAATTTCTGCCTGTGAAGCGACTTCAGCGTATACATCGAAATACGGTGTTGAACCGTTGCTTGCACCGATGTACACAGTGCACACAATGCATGCCAGTACAGACATGCAAGTGGATGAAAACGTGTGCAACCCAGCACGCGAAGTCTGATCTCTTGTACAGTTGTGCAAAATGCTGCCCTTGAGAGCCTTGATCTAATTCCTGGCCTCTGTTGAAAAACCAGCTGAAGCGACACAGCAGGCGGGCGGATCAACGGTACAGTTTACGGCACATGCCTCAGTAATGGTCGACATGTTCTACATAGCGGCGGCGGCTACCGTGAATACACTGAGTCTTGGTGGCTACGGGGTGTTTCTGAATTTTGAATAAGATCAATAAAGAATCTTTACTGTGAACTGCCTACAGGAGAGTTCTCAATGAATTAATGTTCGCTAATTTCACGAGAAGAGCGTAACGTGAGTAAAGCCGAATATTATTAACCAGCACTAAAACAAACTTGTGTGTGGGGGGGGGGGGGGATATATTAGCTACTTGAAGCCGCAGCAACCATGAACATGTTCTTCTCGGAACGGTGTGTGTGTATGTGTGTGTGATCCTGTAGTGTAAGTGTTGACATTTCATCTAGTTATGTATGCATGGCCAGGACAAGTAGTGACCTCCACACCGTGACCCCTTACAGATAATAATACGTGCACATGCACGTGAAGTGCTCACACCAAGGTACACGCGTGGCTGAGGGTGCCATGCAAACCCTGTCTACATGATTGTGATCGTCCGTGTGAAGAATCTATCCTACTACTAGAGCAGTAAACGCTAAAGGGTTTAGCACTTGTATTGTATACATGTATTGCAATATCCATAATCGAGTCAATGAAATGTTTACAAAATATTTTTTTATAACATTCAGCACTATCATTACCAAGACCAAACATTACGCACTACACAACTACACAACTAGTCGCGGTGCACGGTCATGCAGCAGAAACTATGTTACTTGAGCAAGATCCTAACGAGGCAGTTCTACTACCGACGCACTAACGTAACACTTACTTTGCGATGGACTTGCACTTGACCGACTCACTCGATCGAAAATGAGTTTGCTGATTACTCCGTGAATCTTTCGACCGCTTTGAATGTCACAAAACTTGACAAAAGCAAGGCATCCAGACTACGAAACTCGTAAGTCAAGTGCTGCTGGATTGTGTCTGTGTGCACAGGACAGACTTGTTATGTCATGCATACTTTGTAAATTGTAGGCTAGCTGTACAAAGCTCCCCAACATAGACATTAGTGCAACAGCAACACGGTCGCGGTCACGCGTCACAGCGACTACTGAGTACTGTAGCTACGTACATGTACGAGTGCTGGCAACTGAAATCCGACCCACTGAGCGGTGCGCTCACATCGCAAAGACCTAACACCAGAACACGGGATGGTAAAACTACGAAACAGAGGCCGGTAGAATGTGAACCCACCGCTCAGGGGATCGGATTTCAGTTGCCAGCCCAGATCTACTCGGTCGGTCAGTATTGTTTACATGATAGTATGGTCTACAACTACGTAGATCTATGGTAGATCTACGGAGGGTCGATGCCGATGGTCGGTCGGTGCGAAGGTCCATGGATATCATGGATATGGATCAACGACGTTGGGAACTCGACTCGGGCGAGTTTTTCCTGAAAATATCACAAGCACTTTTAATTTAATACTAATAGTAATGAGTCTCGTGAAGTGGCATCGACTCATCGCCGGTCAAGCGCTCGGGTGAACAACGGGCCAACCGCCAAGGGTAATCGATGGACGGTAGTCATCACTGACTCATCATCCGGATATCCGGCTGTGCACTGCGCTATACTACGGCTAGACTGTTTTGAAGTGACTCGACTTGCCATGAGGAGTGAATAATACTCTTGCCAACGCTTATTTACATCCGGTAAGAATCAAGTATTTGGACCGCGTACCGCGTCGGAAAGCAGCAGTAATAATAAGAATAGCATCATTCACGTGCACATCATGCCATGACATGCACTACCGGTATACTATAGTGTCCTCTATACTAAGTGTGTATACAAAGAGTGAAGGGCGTTGAAAAAATTCTTCCATCAAGACTCACCAGTAGACTCATTGCAATGATTATGGTACAGTAAATCAGGGAGTAGTAAAATAACGTGCCGGTGTATTTCCGGAGTACAAGCCACACTATAAACAACAGCAGGAAAGATCGGCGCGCCAGACTTATACTACGATGGTCAAGCCGTGATAAACAGGGTAGATCTTTCTGTATTTCGTTACACAAATCTGGATGCGGCTTATAGGGGACACACACACACACCACACACACACACACACACACACACACACACACACACACACACACACACACACACGGGGAAAACCACGGTGTAGGGAAAGTTGTTGTGGGGAAAGGAAGAACCTCTCGGGGAAAAAATGGTAAGCCGTGGCCGCGGGCCTCAGGGAGTTTGTCAAGAGAAAAATCCCACGGCTATACGACGCACGTGCATAGATCTGGTCTTTGACGAGAACTCTGAACCAAAGTTGTGCGAGTGCATCGCAGCCTGCATTTTCAGACAGTGCCCACATGGCCATGCGGACAACCGTGCACGGCGAATGCAAAATATAGTACAGAATGTACTACAAAAATGCAGTACAGATATTTTTTAATTCCCACGGTCTCAAATTCATGTCCATGCCAAGGCCTAACTGACCACGGGTGTGAACGACCACACTCGGTTACCCGACGGTCTGATTGTTTACCACAACTCGATGTGACTTTGCACTTTGCGCCGACGGTAAGGAGCACGACAGGCAGCATTTGAGATCGGCTTGCCTGTTCTTTAGCTCGAGACATGTAATAAATGCAAAAAAATAGAACAATAGTACTGGTTGGTAGTGTCTTGTACACGTTTGTGTGCTTCAGTGGCGGAGGTAGAGCTGGGTGTAGTAAAACCAGACCAAAGCCCCTCCATAGCAGGGCTGTTAGCAAAGCACCGGTCATCTTGCAGCTGAATCGCCGGCCATAATCATCCCGGATCAAGTTGGTATCCTCATTTCGAAACGAGATAGCCAGCTCAGGCAGGACCCTTGCTGTGGCGGTTTGACTGCGTCCACCACCAACTGCACTGTTGTATTATGTAACAAGTATGCATGTTGAGATGCTTTGGCGAAGTTGCGGCACAGTGCACGCTAGCAATGCACTAGCGGCTCACTCTGTATACCCGTACATAGCGCCCATAAGCGGTTCAGCTGTATACTTGGCGCCCATTTGCAGTTCCCAAATTCTGCTGACTCATCATTATGACTCAGTTTCGCATAACCTCTATACGTCACCTGCAAGTCTTGGTCATTCCTGTCATCAGTCATATCTGACAACGCCAGTGGCTAGTCTTCAATACAGAGGCTAGGCAGAATGATCTTTTGTATTGTCGATCATACCGGATGGACGGCAAGCTGATTCCGGGCTTTGTTCGAACAATCTTGCTGAATGTCCAGATCATCTTCTGCGGTGATGATGCCATGCCGGATATTCCTTTTAGATCTCCGTCAAGGCACTGCCGAAAGCAGCTACCTGAGTGACTTGCCACGGTCTTCGTCACACAGTGGTTCAGAAGCTGGCATTGTGAGTAGGATGTCATTACCGCGACCATCTTATAAGCTAGTGAGCAGGTATATTGTGAGGAGCATCTTGCCATAACCAGTCTCATCATGCAGTGAACCAGGTGAGGTGACAACACTGACAACATACTGGTGATAACTGAAAGGATGCCAGTTTGACAGCCAGCAACCTGTATGATGCTATTTGTGACAATTGTCACACCATGTGTGAAGAAGAGCTTGTTGCGACCAGACAAGTGAGTGAGAATTAAAGTTGGCAAGAAAAGTGGAGGTGAAGCTCCCTTGAAATCTTTGGGACATTGGAGAAACGCTCTTGAGTGACCCCCATTCAAGGAGGAGATAAATCTATGCTGCACACTGGACTACTTGGCCGTGATTCACATGAAGTATCGTGTCCTCTCACCCGAGTACAATGTACGTCACACACTGGAGAAGACTTAATGGGAAGCATGATATTCAAAGTTTAGCGCTCAATAATCAGCGCCAACATGTTTCACTTGTGGACTGACAAGTCTGCGACAGATAAGTGAAAGTATAGTACATTCATGCCAGAAGTGCCAAGTGATATCGTTACTGTGACCCTGCGAGTGCAGTCGCTGAATCTTCACAAGACTTCTCTTACAGCAGGCATGACTAACACCCCGGACGTACCCTTGCTGTGATCTTCCTCGCTCACAGGTTCACATCGTTCACGGGCAGTGCGAGGGGGTAGCACGTGCTCAGTCGCCGGCACTGGACATGATCTGCCACTGTCGGGTGAGTAATGCTGCTACTGCATGAACACTATAGCCTGTCACGCACTGGCACTGTGGTACTAGTACTCAGGGTTGCAGATGCTCCACAGCTGCTGCCTGTGAAAACCTTGCAGACTCAGCCACAGAACCTCTAACTTACAAAGTCCAGAGCCAAAGGGTGGAATGTTTTGGTAAACACAAAGGCACCCTTTAGACAACTTACTTACAAGTACACTGATGTACATAGCCGGTATACACTATGCATGTATAGCTGTACTTCAAGTATGCACATAAATTAATGAACTCTTTAATAACGCAAGCATGAATCAACGACATGGAGAACAAATAATGTCGACAAGTAACAGGTGTTTTACGTTACGTTAAGATCATGCCGTTGAAAGCCCTATCTGAGTATGTGCATGAACGCTGGTAGCCAGGTCTACGGTACGGAGCATGTACGCCATTGCGTGCCAGGCCTGGCTAGCCTACGGTCATGTGGTTTGTGACCACCCGCCTTCACACGCACACGCACACACACACACACACACAAAGATACGAAATACACTATTAACGCAACGTCTTTTGCATAGCTTCAGGAATAATATAAAGTGTACCTGAGAGGGTTTGCAACCCCTCCCTCTAGACTAGGCTAAAACTTGAACAGTGATGGTCTGAACCAGGGGCATGATTCCATTATTATTATTATTTTGCTTGTTAAGCTGCCATAAAAAAGAAAGCTCATCTTAAGCAAGAGGGCTAGAGGAAAAGATAACGATAACGAGATACAGAATACAAAGAAATCCAATGAGTTAAACATACAGTTCAAAACAAGAAAGAAAGAAAAGAAAAACAGAGCCGAAGCTACTAATCGGAGTTACGAATGCGTTGGTACCGATTGATCCATCAATTGACAGGGACTAATCCGTTAATATTGCAAAGTAGAGACTGATTGCAGTTGCAGATCTCCAGGTCAGGGCCAGCATCAATGATTGCCGGTTCTGGATAGGTCTCTGCAGCATTTGATGTGGTAATCATCGTAATTGTTGATAAAATTGTTAGAGTATCTAGTGTAATTGTATAACTTCAGCCACTACACACAGCACACATTAGTTCCTTCCACTTTCATCCATGTGGTTATAATATGGTCGCAGGACCGAGGCCCTGCCAACTCTCTCGTTGCGTTTAGGCCACCATCCTTACAGTAGCTTCAAGAGTGTGCAACACCGCATGCACTATTGTCCCCGCTAGGGTCCAGCGGATAATGCTCGGAAAATGTTCGTATAATGCTAACCATAATGCTCCAAAAACTGCCTTATAATGCCGATTATAATGCTTCGGCAAGGGATATAATGCTCTTCGTTTGGTACAAAAATGGAAGAAAGTCTGCACATTGTCAAACTTCCAGGAAATTATACATAATTATCGTCGATCTTCATCTGAAGCTGCCACCTTATCTCTCACGAGCTCCACCACTTTTTAGCACTATAAGACATGATCGCTTCTCCATTGATTGCTCTCCATTCCAACTTTGATGCAGGGTTGTGGCAGAATAGCCGGTGTATCAAATCTTTCCCCTAATTATCCATGTAGTGAGAGATGAAACCATTATTGCAGGTAGTCATTCATTGTTGGGATGAAGTTAATCTTGGCAAATAGTATTCCTGCCTGCAGACAAGCTGTCACTGCGTCCACTATGTGAACAATGTCTTCATCTGAAACACCAGACGTGAGGCCAGCTCCTGAGATCCGACCTCAGATGGAGAGCCCTCCCATTTGCGGAAATCCTGAAAACACGTGGTCAGAAGTTATTTAGCCACTCTACATCCTTTGCTTGTGCTCTCATCTTCTCCTTGAGATGGTGTGTAGACGTATGGCTTGCCACTATACTCCTCCTTTCTGATAGCATTTGACTGTAGGCCTGGCATTACTACCGTAAACAACTAACTGTACGTGCTTCATCAGGAAAGGAAGACAGGCGCTGCTGAGCAATCGACTCGGTACTGAGTCCATGAGAAATTCTAGTTCTTTTCGAGCCTCCTGAGCTGGACTCGGCAAAGGCAGTTCTTTTGGAACGAGCTATTTCTGTTTATAGCCGCTCCTTCATCCTGGCCCAAATTTAGCAATGCATCAGTGTCTACTTCAGTATCGCTAGAGATGCTATCGCCAGAGCCTCTGGCACAACTAGAAAACTCTTCTCCGTCTGTTTGATATTCACTTCGCGTATGTCTCCTCCATAGCCCTCCATTATTCTAAATGTAAAAGAAACCTCGTAAATAATTTCTCCAGATTTGTGTCACTTGAACTGCCTCGGTTGGGCATGCTTCACAAATGGCTTGTATACATTTACCTGCCCACATCGCTACAATCATAACGTTTTATGTAGCAATAGTTATGTAGCGTTAGTGCTAAAGGTGTTACGTGTCTACACAATCACAAAGTCATGCACCTGTACAATGCATAGTGCTCAAATGCCCGGAATGGGCGGAGCGTAGTTCGCAAGAGGTACACAAAAGGAGTAAAATAGGGCTGTTTCGTTGTCACTCAGAGTTTCATGGCAAAAACCAATCATCCGACAACATCTCATGATCATGATTGTAGCCGATTGTTGCCAAAAAACCTGGGATTTCCCTATATTATCCACTATGAAACTCGTTATGCCGCTCAAACCTCACAGAATGCTCGTTTTGTTCCTTTCTAATGCTCCATAATGCTCTGATGCTCGAATAGTCGTATAACCACTCTCTTAACATTGGCCGGTGTTTCCACCGAGTCTTGAGATGTTGTAATAAATAATATATATAATAGAAAATTTGAGGCCACATGCCACGTAATGCTCTTTTCTCTCCGAAACTCAACACTTGCAAGCCAGATATGAAAGAAAGAAAAAATCATCAGTCACACCACCGGGACTCGAACCAGGGACCTTGCTATTCGCGAGCAATGCTCTAACCAACTGAGCTACAGTATGACTCTTATCCACAGTGATGGTAAATCTATCCTTCTTCGATCAATCAATATCTGGCTTGCATCATACTGGCAACCAGGGAGTAGGTATTGTACTACTCCCTGCTGGCAACTCACACCAATCAAGAGGGTCCTCGGCCATTCGCTTGATATCATGGGGAGCGCATCAAACTATGTCCACTGCGAGCAAATACAAATTGCAATTTCAAATTTGGACTTCACGGAGAATTTTCAAAGTGTTAGGAAATGTTAGGAAGTGTTAGGAAATATGATGCAAGCCAGATATTGATTGATCGAAGAAGGATAGATTTACCATCACTGTGGATAAGAGTCATACTGTAGCTCAGTTGGTTAGAGCATTGCTCGCGAATAGCAAGGTCCCTGGTTCGAGTCCCGGTGGTGTGACTGATGAATTTTTCTTTCTTTCATATCTGGCTTGCAAGTGTTGAGTTTCGGAGAGAAAAGAGCATTACGTGGCATGTGGCCTCAAATTTCCTAACACTTTGAAAATTCTCCGTGAAGTCCAAATTTGAAATTGCATATATAATGCCGATTATAATGCCGGCATTATCCGCTGGACCCTAGTCCCCGCAAAGAATTTCAAATTGACATGATTTTCATGATACAATAGTCCTTATGCACATTGTACAGATGTACGAAGTTCTGTACTATGGCCGTAGGTGTGTACATACCCGGTTGGGTGTTCATTGTGTGCTATACATGCGCGTTTGACCCATTTAGCCTCACAATTCATGGCAAACGATCACTTTTCAAGCCTTCTTCACTTTGGGATTGAACTAACGACTAGCTAGATCTCTGCCGAAAAAGATTTCGTATGAAATGCCTTCATGGCCCATTTCATAGTGGAAATAGCAGTAAACACAATAGGGTCCTGCACATTCAACACCCAACCGGGTCTACGGGATTCTACAAGATTATACGGGATTTCGTGCATCTGTACAATGTGCATAAGGCCTATTATGCCTCTTGCAGGCCTCTTGCAGGCCGGATTGACGACGTTTGTACCAGTAGTACCAGGAAGTATTGTATGACTCCCTGGTTTGTACTGGTGTCAATGCCGCAAACACCGCACATGTTTCCTTGCACTACTGAGTTTGCACAGGATCAATTGGGGATTTGTCCGCCACAGGTCAGCAGGCAGAGACCCAGGATATGTTCTGATAATAATATGACATAAATTGATAATCGAAACACGGGTATTGAGCCAATAATAAATGTAGAAAAGAAAAACGCGTTTCCATATGTCCTTTTTCTTTTCTATAAATTGATAATAGTGACATAAACTTGAAATAAGCTCTGTCACTGAGGGACAGCATTACTCATATTACTAGGCTAGAGTTGCATACTCTTGTAGGCTTGGGGATATGAACTCTTGATGGTGTCCGTCAAGGCTAACTAAGGGGCACATTCGAATTGTCCTTATCACCTTTTCGAGAAATATCTTAGACTCGAGCGATTAGTTGAAGTATCCCAATAGAACCGTTGCTGTCTCGCCATTTCCTTTGGAATTGTCATAGCAATGATATTTTCCTAGCGTGCCTCCCACGTGATGAATGGGCATCCTTTACCGTATGTGCACGTTTTGTCGTAAGTACTACGGGAAATGCATACCAACGGCAGTTTTCGCGCCCGATAAATTCTACACGGCTCTTCTAAAATAATCCACCTCTCCCATTGGTTGAGGTTGTGGAGTTTCAAGGAGTTTGGCGAGGAGACTTTCGGTTTCTGAAGAGGCCAATAAGCCACCTCTTCAGAAAAACGAAACTCCTCAAAAAGTGAAAGAGTGACAATTCGAATGCCCCCTTAGTCCTTGCAGGCGCGTAGCACCGCTGTTTGGAGGTGGTCCGGCAGGAGGGGGTCGGGTCCCCCGGGGAAATTTTGAAATTACGGTGCAAATGATCCTGCATTCTGGGCACTTTGGCATTGTGTTAAAAAGGCTGCTACGCCCCTGCCTTGATACATGTAATGATGGGGCATGTGTGCTGTCAGCCAGAGACAGTGAAAAAGGAGTTTTCCTGGCCCTCTCGGTGGCTTACTGTTGACATCAGTCCTGGTAACCGTCCAAGACTTGAAGTGCAAGCAAGGCTTACGGAGTCATTGTACGTACATGCGTACACAGTCAGTAATCATGGTATACCGGTAATGGCGATGACCAGATGACATAATTATACAATGCAGTATCTTGACTAGTTTGAATACAGTATCTCATAATTTACCGTACAGTATGTACTCTACAGCCTACAACAAAGGGAGGAAAACTCCTTTTTCACATTGCCACACATGCACAGAGGACATGTGCAAGAGTTACTCTATTATTACTCTTGTAATGGTCACACGAGCAAAAAAGGACTCCGGCCTGTGCTGTTGCGGTGCATGCAGTGTAGTCCTTGCACTCGTAGATCTACGATCGTGCATGCCATCATCAGCAGCAGACCCACGCTACCATGTACGAGTCGTACAGCGTGGGCGTAGATCTACGAAACTCAAAAATCTTGTTCAAAGCACAACTTCACAAGTCACACTTGCAGGTCACTCAAATGCTGACACATACTGTGACATAGTAGTAGGTGCGAATACTTCAACTTCAAAATGTGGCTTGCTAGAATTTAGCTCCTCGCCATCTAGTAGGGGATGAGTTGACTCCTGCTCTACATCTAGCAGTAAGCGAAGGCGCAGCCTTATCACGGTCAAGGCAGCTTTGGCTTCATGGGAGTGTCGAAATTGACACCCAACTGGTCGTCGTGGGGTCAACCCAGCACTTTTTCTTGTGAGTGGGTTTGAAGAACGAAGTCTTTATGACATCGTCTCCGGTCGTGGCCACCTCGACAGATCGCCGTGTTTGTTATGGTCGGCGACCTTCCCAGCTTCTGCTGAACGTGACTACCCAGCAGAACAACAAGATGGCTGAATCAGCGAAGTCTCAAATTCACTTCAGCGGGAATTCGTCTTGTCCGAAGTTCACTCCCAATCAATTTAAACCAAGTATATGTTCCAGCTGTTCTTCTCTGGTATCCAATCACAAGGCAGAGGCCGTTGACGACTCCGTTGTCCAGACCGCCCTGGAACACCTGGTGGACTCGGTGCCCAGTTTAGTTCTCGACCGGCTGAACGACGTAGGTCCTGTTTATCTGGGTGGGTACAAAGCAGCAGCTAACACCAAATTCCTGACTGAGGAGGCGAACATTAGCCATGTAGTGTGTACTGCTCAAGGACTGGGAGATATATTTGGACCCCGCTACATAAGGTCTATTGACGCAGCCAAAGAGAAAGGTGTGACTTTCCTGGATATGGATTGGCTTGACAGACCAGATCAGAATGTGACCATGTCAGAACTAGCCCAAGTCATCCGATTCGTGGAAAAAGGCCGCACCGAAGGCACTGGCGTTTTAATACACTGTGCGCAGGGCAAGTCCCGCTCCGGCATGGCCACCATGGCTTATGTAATGGCCAAGCTGGTGAAGAACGTAGATGATTCGCTGGCCCTGGTGCGCAGTCGTAGAACTATGGCCGAGCCGAACTTTGGCTTCATGATCGCTCTGACAGAGTTTGAGCAGTCACCAGAGCTTGCCTTGCTGCGAGAGGAGATCGGCACACAGCAACCAGCAGCTGCATCACCACCAACACCTGACAATAACTAGTTTTTGTACAAAAGAGAACAATAAGATTGGCTTTACTGCCACTAGTGAGCCCCTGATGTCATAGGACCCTTAGTCCCCCTGTTACAGAATGTTGAACTACTTTTTAATTCCTGTTTTTGTGAACACCTGCGCGCTCCCTCCAAAATGACTTCGTACGTATTTGCTTTATCTCGCTGTCAGAACTTTGTACCACTCTTTGATTCCTTTTTAAATTGAAGAAGGTGACACATTGTACAATGTACATACCCCAGCTACCTGCCTATGTATGCGTTGTTCACAGGCTCTTATGTTTTGTTATGTGGCATGTGACAAAGATGGCAATGCCGTTTTTAAAAGATTTGTGTTTTGTTTCGCCTCTTGACAGCATTTTATTTTCGCGGTGAGATGTGTAGCTCCTAGGTCTAACAGTTGTGCATCCCAACCTTACTTTACTGTTATGACATTTAGTTTCTTGAGCTGTTTCGGAATGAGTTTTACTTATGATCAATATGCTCCTCTCTCTCTGTCTCTCTCTCTCTCTCTCTCTCTCTCTCTCTCTCTCTCTCTGTGTGTGTGGGTGTGTGTCTCTCTCTCTCTCTCTCTCTCTCTCTCTCTCTCTCTCTCTCTCTCTCTCTCTCTCTCTGTCTCTCTCTCTCTCTCTTTGGTCTTTGTTTTTAAAATATTACTTGTATGAATGTGGTGCTCCGTATTGCTGTGTCCGTAGCCAATGGTAGCGGCGCAGTTGACCATTATGAACTACTGTGCACAAAGCTGCTAGTTGCTGTTGTGATGGAAGAAATGGAAGCATGTGAACCTGCCGAGTATGGCGATGCGAGCCAAGAAAGCGCATGATTGTGACCATTTTCGAAAGTGGCTGTCTTGTGCACTTTCTCAAGGAACTATGTTGCCATCTTGTTCATTTTGAAGCTTAGCCGGCTGAGACAGAATTTTGAAACCTTTCCACGTACATGTAGATGCATATACATGTACCGGTACAGGGTTCTAGCCAGGTCAAAATAATAGGGTGGGGGGGGGGCATGGGAAACAGTAACCCCGTATCCCATTTTTCCACTTTCCAATATTGTCTTGCCACGCTAAATGCAACGTATGGGGCGAACCCCCGACTTCGCCGCAGACAAATGTGCCTTAATGAACCATCTAATCGTGACTTTCGACTGCATTTTCATGAAAAACACGAAAATCGGAAAAGGAGTAGGGGGGGGGGGGGGCTGCTGCATATTACTTCAGTATAATTTTCACTCCTCCTGGGTACCCTTTTTCCAGTCACAACTTGATTTTTGCCATTGCATTTTTTGGTGCTCATCCTCCTGAAAATGAAGAAAACCAAATGCGCTAGAAGACACGAGTAACTACTGTGTAGGAAGATTACCCCCTGGAAAATACATGCACTATTCTAGTATTCTGTGCTCTGTTTTTTCCTGTCTTAGGGGGTGATTCTATGTGCAGCTCCAGCCCGGGCTGGTCAACAGGCAGGGGCGGGCCAGCTCGCCTGCTACGGGATCTCGGGGTTGTCCACAAATCCACACAAAACATGTTGTGCGTTTACATGTCAAACGGGCTGGCCCGGCGAGGCGGGCCAGAAAAAGCACATAAACAGACCAGCCCGGGCCAGAGTTGTATTATTATGGTATCGACACTGCGTTCATACTACAAAATAGGTACTTTTACCTTTTAAGGGAAGTTATAAAGAGAATTCTCGATATTGTCTTGAAAATCTATGATGCCTTTTGTACAGCAACAAGAAGGACGTGCCGTGAGCACTGTTTATTTGTCGACATGCATGATTGTATTTTACGATGGAAGGGGGACTACTTGCAAAATACTTTGATATGGACAACTAAAAATGTGAAAACAGGAAAAAGAAACGAGGTGATACAACACACCAAGCACGTGCCATAGCGCGAAAAGAAATCAGCAAAAGAATACATTGTGTGAGAAAAAAAGTTTTTAGGTTTATAACGTGAGTATGGCTTGCAGCCCGGGCGCCCGGGCGCCGGGCTGGAGCGAGCGGGCCAGCCCGCCGAGGGTGTTTACATGTGCACGGCCAGGCTGGTCGCCAGCTCGTTGTGAGTTTATATGCGCTGAACACACGCCAGCCTGTTGTGAGTGTGCAATGAACACACTACTAGTACTACTGAAGTGTGCTGCCCCAGGCTGAAACGCAGGGCTGCAAGTCATACTCATGTTATAAGGCTAAAACCAGGGAGTCATAAAATACCTGGGGTTTTTTTTTTTCGCGCTATGGCATATGATTGGTGCGTTTTATCACCTTGTTTCTTCTACCTGTTTTTCACATTTTTATTTGTCCATATCAAAGTATTTTGCAAGTAGTTCCCCTTCCTTTGTTACTACAATCATGCATGTCAACGAATAAACAGTGCTCATGGCATGTCCTTCTTGTTGCTGTACAAAAAGCATGCATTCAAAATCATTGATTTTCAAGAAAATATCGGGAATCCTCTCTAAGGGCGCGTTTGGTTGGTACGAACTAGAACAGGATTCACCAGAACAGCGCGTTTGGTTGGGACTGCACCTGTTCTGGGTCGGCCAGAACATGTTCTGCTTGCTCCGGCCTCCAGGCCGGAGCAGACCGAGCAGTTTCACTTTTTCACAGTGAAACCTGGCGGGAACATCGATTTTGGTCCCAAATGATCACGTGCATACGCTTTTTGGGTTGGACTCGTTGTACCGTACAAAGTGACCATGGTGACCCATACACATTTTGAAGAATGCACCAAGTTTGGCACATTTTTCCACAAAAATGTGCTCTGTTTCTGGAGTACCGTTTCGTTGGCATGAGGCTGCTCCATGTGCACCAGCTGTTCGATCCTGTTCTAGATCGTACCAACCAAACGCACCCTAAAACTTCCCTCAAAAGGAAAAAGTACATACTGGCAATTATTTTGTAGTATGAACGCAGTGTCGAAGCCATGATAATATAACTGTGGCCCGGGCTAGTCTGTTTTAAATATGCTTTTTCTGGCCCGCCTAGCCGGGATCCCGGGTGCCTCGGGGCGGGATCCCGCCTCGCCGGGCCAGCCCGCTTGCCATGTAAACACACAACATGTTTTGTGTGGATTTGTGTACAAGCCCGAGATCCTGTTGCAGGCGGGCTGGCCCACCTGTCACAGCCCGCCAAACAGCCCGGGCTGGAGCTGCACATATAATCACCCCCTTAGTGTCTACCTTCGCATGGTGTGAGTGCGACCTACTGCCTGGGTAGAAATTCCACGAGAATGCTGTCACAGGGCTAGCGCAGGCATACTATAAGTGTACTCGTCTCAAATATAAAGTCCCCGTCCCATTAAAGGGGAAGTTAAGGCAAAAATTAAAATTTCACCAGTTGTAGTCTTCGGGGTGCTGAGTCGAATGGTCTTGGTCCGAGAAAGCTGAGACGCTCCCTTCCTACTTGAATCCCAATCGAACTCGCGCACTTCCACCGAAACTGGGTGACTGCGCCCTACTAGATGGGGATTTGTATGCAAAATGTCACTAAAAGCGCCGTTTCGTTCTTATAAAAGCACGGATGACCGCGATTGGCCCATATGTTGTAGTCTTTTGGACGCTGAGTCGACTGGTTTTGGTCCGAAAGGGCTGCGATGCAGCGTTCCTCCTTTATTCCCAATCGAACATGGTTGAACAAGCGGTCACGTGCTCCTGGGTGCCCAAATCACCTGGTCACCACGCCAGCAGGCGACAACTTTCACACCAAGGTTCAACTCGAGTGACAGGACTGCACCCAAAAAAGGTCAAACAGGCTAGTAAGTTGTACCCTGCAGGCACGGTGACCAGCTGACTGGTGTACGCAGGAGCACGTGACCGCTTCTTCAACCATGTTCGATTGGGAATAAAGGAGGAACGCTGCATCGCAGCCCTTTCGGACCAAAACCAGTCGACTCAGCGTCCAAAAGACTACAACATATGGGCCAATCGCGGTCATCCGTGCTTTTATAAGAACGAAATGGCGCTTTTAGTGACATTTTGCATACAAATCCCCATCTAGTAGGGCGCAGTCACCCAGTTTCGGTGGAAGTGCGCGAGTTCGATTGGGATTCAAGTAGGAAGGGAGCGTCTCAGCTTTCTCGGACCAAGACCATTCGACTCATCACCCCGAAGACTACAACTGGTGAAATTTTAATTTTTGCCTTAACTTCCCCTTTAAGCACACGCTATACATGCTATCAAGAGTATATAACCCCCCAAGAGTGTGCAACTCCTGAGACCCTTTCTATGGGGTACGCCGACGGCGAAAACTCACATCACGTGGTGCAGTGTCTCAGTTGTACGTTTCCAGCCCGTTTTTAGCGAGCAGCGGAGTAATAAAAAAACCACTCTCTGACAGAAACTCACTGCGCGTATCCAAATCCCCAGCATGATCATGGCAGATATTCGGATTGCGCGCACGCTATACTTCATTTGTACGTAGTACGAGTATATCTGAGACACGCGATGTGAGTTTTCGCCGTCGGAGACCCCATATATGCAGAGTTGCACACTCTTGGGGGGGGGGGGTTATATACTCTTGATGCTATGTACTCCTGTGTGTCCTACACGCTGGCAAATAGGGTAGAAGACCCACGCTCCTTTCGACCAAGAGTTGGGTCGCTGAAAGAAGGTATATACCAGTACACAAGAGAGAGTTTGGAAGCTTTGTCACAACTCTGAGTTTCACGTATCACTACGATCATCACAAGGCTCTGCCCTACATGGGCATTGAGCACTCTTCGGACAGTGAAGCACACCACTTGACTACTATATACCAGTACATGTATCAATAAATTAGAATGTACTTGGTACACGTATGATACCTTGTAGCATTATGCACAGTTGGTGTTTTGATCTAGCACATGACGACTTAGACTAACTTAGTGTCTCTGCAGCGTTGGGACAGTTTCAGGCTTTCAGCGGCAGCAACTGAGTTATGCTCAGGAAACACACACACTTGGCCAAGAACCAGAGCACAATGCGAACCTCATGGCACGCCGTGCTGGCAAACACAATTACAATGTACTGAATTAGAGGAGTTAGTTGCAAGTCAGAGTTGAATGAAGTGGCTACCGGTATACTAGACATAACTGGATATGTGTAGACAAACACTCGTCATCAATTCTTGCTGTACAAGTAGCTATAAGCACTGCTTGACTTAAAAATAAGCACTTAAAAATGAAGTAAAAACTGGCACTGAGCACAAGGGGTAGTTTTGATTGTTTGTAAGGGTGTATAAAATCCAAAATATGTCGTGTCACTGGATGGAAATCACGGGGGGGGGGGGGGGGGGGTATTTCGATTTAGACCTCACTGGGTTGCTCATATTTAATTATAAAACTCAGCAAAAGGCGGGTAACTAGAGAGGGGAACACCTCAGTCTTAATGTCATGGGCACTAGAGAATGGATTAGTATTATATACGCACAATATGTCAGAACAGTCAGGTTCGTGAAAACTAGCGAGAGGCGAAGACAGAGAAAAGGAGGTCATGCAAAGAGATCCGGAGCCTTGAGGACCAGGAAGCTGAGGATGTCCGACAGGGACACAATGCCCACAACGTGATTATGACCATCGACAACCACCAGTCGGTGTACCTATTGAGATGATGGCACGCACACACACACACACACAGACACACACGAGAGAAAAACACAACCGGGTGGACTATGAGGTCAATGAGAGAGGGAGAGAGAGAGACCTGAGCAGTACTGTCAGTTCATAAATACTGAACTCACAAGTACAGTGCGTATCGGTTATAGTGTGGTCGTATACAAGAATATACTGCTTACAAGAATGAACACTCATTTTTTCATAATCATAACACATATTTTATGTGTATATTTATTCTTACAAGCAGTATTATCGCATAGTAGAATATATCGGCCCTAAGAATGGATTTTGTGTAGCAAAATATGCCAGATTAGTGCAAAGTGTATCGCCTGTAGTAATAACATCTGTGCTCTGTGCATACTCAATACAATAATATTCAACACAAAAGAGAGTTATGTCCAAGGGAGCATTGGAGAATCACTTTTTCTGTCCAGTCGGACTCTTTCTTCCGACTTCTCTCGTATCCGCTGCTCCGCAGTCGCCTAGCATGACCGCGAGTCTGATTGATCCGTGTGTACGTGTATCATGTGTACGTGTCCACATGCCAAACGTGCGCGCATACATGTCATGTACATGTATGATGTCACACGTGCATATGTGATTTATCGTGTGTAAGAAATATCGGCAATAAGAATCAAATGTCGTTTTTCAAACACCCACGCTATAACCGATACCTACTGTACAAAGTTGGTACAGTGAACTTTGAATTATATGTTCAAGTTACTGTCGGAATCCCACATGTTTTCTATAGCGAAACGTGGATTTCGGAGCACTATTAATTAGGCAATTAGTCACAGATTTGAAGTTTGAATCATCAGGCATTTATATGTGTGAATTGTGTTGGCCAAAATTGCACCACACAGCCATTCATATCTAACATCATCATAGAGAAGTCACACAAACTAACCTGTTTCTCCACTATCCGACGTATCACTGTAGACAGGGATTCGCTAAGCAAACACGTGTGTACTGAACGGGAATCCTGCACACCACATCCATTGAAGACAACGATTCAGAGAGCGGTAATACAGATTTAGAGAACGTATGCAGCTATTATTATGCAGCACTAGGATCCCACAGCCATGGCCAGAAAAGAAGTGCCCTATAGTGCGTTTCAAAAGTCCAGACCTCTGGTTTCAAAAAACCGTTAGGCCAGCATCTATACCACATAAAATCTGTGATCACTTTGTGCATACAATTTTCGAAATTGGGCGTCTGTTATCCAATCGCTTAGAAATTTACATGAGAAAAATTGCGTGAGCTGCCTGAGCAATATTCCGGAGAAATTTCTCAAAAATGCTCAAACCAAATTTGAATTATTTGAAAAAGTCCAGAGGTCTATACTTTTGAAACGCACTATAGTATACGTCAGTTCTGTCAAGAGTTATTTTTATAATTATCGTATCCGTCCCCGAATGGGACTCACGAGGGCAGAATTGACTGTGAGCATGTGTGTGTGAGAGTGGGAAAACGAAATGAAAAAGAAAAAAGAGAGTCTTGTAATAAAGGTCAAATTTAAGAAGAGTAGTTCTAGACTAAATGTCAAGAGTACATGAAATCAATAGTATACAGATCCTGGCTTTTCTGCATGGGTGTCGGTCATAGCGAAGATCCTGGACTACCGTAAATCCAGAAATTTTCGGTGGTGTAATATTTTCGGTATTCTCCAAAATCGGCGGTTCAGTGGAGGGAAATTTTGGGTAAACCCGTTTTCCAGGCACTTTAGTAAGTGTACTAGTACTGAAGTTTTCGGTGCGTTTTATTATCGGTAAAAATTCCGGCACCGAAGTTGCTGAAAATAAAACACCACCAACAATTTCTGCTTTTACAGTACATCATAGTTGAAGCAGATAAGCGGTGGGAAGTAGCGTTGTGAGCACAACTGAGCTGCAGTTGTGCAGCAGAAGACCTACCCCCCCCCCACCCATCACTAATAGAATGTAATCCAGGAATTCCGCCACGACAGCAGCCCATTCAGCTGCAGACTCTTGGCGTCACCGTTGGTTCTATAATCATACTTCGAAGTACTAGTAGATGCACACGCACACAGTGTGCAGATGGATATGAGAGAGAGAGACAGAAGACTTTGAGAAGTGTATCTAAAACAGATTATCATACCTCAGCCCGGTATTTCAAAGCATCCTTCACGCTGATATCCAGGTTGTTGTAGGTCTTTTCCGCAGCTAAGTTCTGCAGGAAACAACGGGCAAGAAGAGGCAAATAAATGGTCATATGCATACAGTAAAACCTGTAACTAAAGACCACCGTGACTAGCGACCAGCCTGCTACTACAGTAAAACCTGTAACTAAAGACCACCGTGACTAGCGACCAGCCTGCTACTACAGTAAAACCTGTAACTAAAGACCACCGTGACTAGCGACCAGCCTGCTACTACAGTAAAACCTGTAACTAAAGACCACCGTGACTAGCGACCAGCCTGCTACTACAGTAAAACCTGTAACTAAAGACCACCGTGACTAGCGACCAGCCTGCTACTACAGTAAAACCTGTAACTAAAGACCACCGTGACTAGCGACCAGCCTGCTACTACAGTAAAACCTGTAACTAAAGACCACCGTGACTAGCGACCAGCCTGCTACTACAGTAAAACCTGTAACTAAAGACCACCGTGACTAGCGACCAGCCTGCTACTACAGTAAAACCTGTAACTAAAGACCACCGTGACTAGCGACCAGCCTGCTACTACAGTAAAACCTGTAACTAAAGACCACCGTGACTAGCGACCAGCCTGCTACTACAGTAAAACCTGTAACTAAAGACCACCGTGACTAGCGACCAGCCTGCTACTACAGTAAAACCTGTAACTAAAGACCACCGTGACTAGCGACCAGCCTGCTACTACAGTAAAACCTGTAACTAAAGACCACCGTGACTAGCGACCAGCCTGGTACTACAGTAAAACCTGTAACTAAAGACCACTGTGACTAGCGACCAGCCTGGTACTACAGTAAAACCTGTAACTAAAGACCACTGTGACTAGCGACCAGCCTGGTACTACAGACCACCGTGACTAGCGACCAGCCTGCTACTACAGTAAAACCTGTGACTAAAGACCACCGTGACTAGCGACCAGCCTGCTACTACAGTAAAACCTGTAACTAAAGACCACCGTGACTAGCGACCAGCCTGCTACTACAGTAAAACCTGTAACTAAAGACCACCGTGACTAGCGACCAGCCTGCTACTACAGTAAAACCTGTAACTAAAGACCACCGTGACTAGCGACCAGCCTGCTACTACAGTAAAACCTGTGACTAAAGACCACCGTGACTAGCGACCAGCCTGCTACTACAGTAAAACCTGTAACTAAAGACCACCGTGACTAGCGACCAGCCTGCTACTACAGTAAAACCTGTAACTAAAGACCACCGTGACTAGCGACCAGCCTGCTACTACAGTAAAACCTGTAACTAAAGACCACCGTGACTAGCGACCAGCCTGCTACTACAGTAAAACCTGTAACTAAAGACCACTGTGACTAGCGACCAGCCTGCTACTACAGACCACTTTGCCAGGCACGGACGGTCTCACATTCATATATGGCTGTGCAGTGCAAACCTCTAACTAAGGACCACCTGCCACTAAAGACCGCTTTCTCTGGCCCCAAGGGGTGGTCGCTAGTCACAGGTTTTACTGTAGTAATGATGATGGCTGTACTCACCTGTCTACAGCATCAGGTTTGCTATACCCGAGCCCAAAAGCTACCATCATGATCTACTGTCATCGAAAGCCAGAAACAGATGTGATCCTTCTAAATGAGGACAAAAGGATACTCTCTGTCTCTGCCTCTCGAATACCAACATCCGTCACATACAGGCCACACTTGCGTAGAAAGGTACATCTTCTCATCAGAGTACAGTATCCAAAGGTAAACTGTCTCGATTACCGATTTCGAATGCCATGAAACACCGGCACATGTACGAATCTGTAGTCCAACGTGATAAGGTGTCGGTGCTAGTGTCGTGAGCAGTACTTACAATTACGTCGAACTTGGCATAGACTTCCACAACTTGACCTGCGCGTGTAATGTGTGCACACATTGAGGCACATAAGCCAGTGAATTTCTTAAATCGGACACGACAGGCATGCTAGCACGCAGTGCATAAATGCTGACACGACAGGCACAATTCGCAAACATACCCGAGTCCAACAATAGAACAGCTAAGTATCGTATTTTTTGTTTTTTTAGCCAGTGATTGGGAAGTCAACATGACATACCGTTGTGGTCGATGACAGGTACTGCTGAAATACGTCGCTCCGAGAATATGTTGAGAATGACAATGAGCGCTGTGTCCTGACTGACCTGAACGCAGTAGTAAAAGAGGAGGCATAACAAGACAAATGAAAATATAAACTATGCACTAAAAAAATAACGCTCCCCAACAATGCAATTTCTGCGCCGTGCACCAATCACGCAAGATACGGTGTGAAACGCCGCGGCTGTATGATGAATGCTATCACACAACCTCCCGAGAGCACAGATACTTGGACCCAAACATAACCACCACACCGGCCCTTCTAGTAGACTAGCGCTCAGTGCTAGTGCAACAATATTTGGTAGGTATCACAGAGGTTTTATCACAGAGGTTTTATCACAGAGGTTTTTGGGGAAAAGGTAGAACATCATGAACATGCGGCAAAGTAAAATCAAATCAAACGGACAAACAAACATCGTGCTGAAAAGCTGAGCCCGCCAGAGCCGTATGGAGAACTACACAAGTGTCTGTGGCCATGCTAGTACCGGTATAGGTAGTACATGAGAACTTGCACAAGAAATAAAGATTGGCACCTTGAGGATAGAGAAAGAGACAACTTACGGTTGCAATGTTGTTGTAGGTTCCAATGTTAAGAAAGGAGATAGACCGCGACATGAATTCTGGTTGAGGCACGTTTTCAAACTAAACAGAACAGGAAAGTCGACAAGAGTACGGCAATCGTGTCGGCAGAACGATACATGTATTTATTTATCACGCAAACAGACTGTGGCACACAGAATTGCTCACGAACAGCAATGTGCTTTTTCGTGTTTTGTTTATTCATGCACAGTGCAGTTCTATTAGAAGGATGAACAGCAAACAATATGCCAATACCAAACCTACTGGATGAGCTCACTACTGCGAAGGAAACAAGTAGGCATTCTTATTATTGGATGGACTAGGTTTGCTGTGTGTGCATGCATGCACATACATGCACATACACACACAGATCACTAAAGACACTAGCATATGGAGAGAGCGAGAGCGAGAGAGGAGAGAACAAGAAGAGTATCATACACACCTCTAAGTATATGAACTGCAGTAGACGCTTTGGTGTGAGGATATAAAGGCAATTGGCAGAGCGTGGGTCGATGACGGGAAGCCGATGAATTTTCTTCTCAACCAGCATACGTATTGCCTCATAAATACTAATAACCAGAATGGAAAGAAAAATAAAGACATAGACCATAGATACCGGAATACAACGAAGACCACAGTTGATAGATAAACCATGAAGGACTTTCAAAGTAGCATACAGCAAGCACTTCTATGCATTACGCATGTTTCTTCTGGTCTTGGACTTGGCGAGGCTTGCAAGTCATCACTATACTATATAGAGACACAGAGAGGCTCACTACAGTGCAACTGATCCAGTGTAGCACTTGTACAGAGCTGTTGGAATAGTGAATACAGTGTGGTGCGATAGTAGGTCTTACCTCTGCAGAGGATCTATGCTGACCAAGACTTCATGGCATCGTCGGATAGCCAGATCTAACAGCAAAAAATTCGGATACAATACGCTTGGATATACATGCCACTAGATGACAGCAATTTGAAAATCAATAAACTTGTAAGTATTCTACGGATGCAAGAAAGCCCGTATGACTGACTGTACTGCGAACCTGCAGGATGGCATTTTTGAACAAAGACTGTGCAACTATTACAAGCCACAAACCAGCACACATACCTCGCCAAGTCTGAATACGATGTTCCTCCAGTTCATGCATTTGTACCTGAGCAGAGCAGAATGAAAATAGATTTTCAATCTAAAACTAAGCACTCGAATCATTCCCGCAGCAGAGCGGAAAGGAAACAAGATCAAGACAACTTTGTAGAGTCTCGAAAATGATCATTGCCCCAACATGTTGAATGGTAGATTGAAAACGAAATTAAAATGAAGTTGAGTGAATTGCAGTGCAAATCGAGAGGAGGCCATTAGTCTAAGCAGGCACATGTACAAGTAGCTTATACAGAAGATACCATCAACAACAACACACCCAACACATGTCCTTCAAAGTAAAGTGCATATGCTAGTTATCCACAACAACAGTGCAACAATAACGAAGCCCCACGGTGTGGAAACCGAGAGCGATAGAAAGAGAGAGAGAGAGAGAGAGAGAGAGAGAGAGAGAGAGAGAGAGAGAGAGAGAGAGAGAGACAGAGAGAGAGAGAGAGAGGGAGAGAGAGAGAGAGACAGAGGGACAGATTGATAGAGAAATCACATGAATCTAACCAGTGGAGAGCGATAGTAGTGTCGAAGAATGTTGATGAAGTCGGTAATGGTCAGCATTCCTAAGAAGAACCCACATAAAATTTCACAAACGGACATGTAGATATTACACAACATTGAACACTACATTCAAGGTGTGGCCCCAATTGTGGCGTCAGAGGCCTGCCGGGTCCGAACTGTAACATTGGGTGTTTAGTGGCACTCCCTAAATAGTAAATACACTGCATTCTCTAGTGCCTTTTCTAGGTAACCTACCAGTCGCATGGGAACCCAGTTTCTACACCGAACACCGAATCAAAGTAACAAGTTACTGTATAAATGTATGGACACAAGCAGCGGACATAAAAGGAATGTTGTCAGTACCTGTAGGAGGTAACCATGATAGTGTAGCACAGGCAAAAGTAACGCTGGGTTCTACAAGTAGTCTTTACCAGGGAGGTGATCTACCACTACAGTAGTGATGCTAAACTGACTTACATAATGACATGGCCAGCTTTCGCTCCTAGTCATGAAACTTGAAACAATTTTTTTTGTTTGAACTTGTTAAAACAACATACCTATGAACGACTGAGAGACGCTATCCCAGACAGGTGCCGAGCGCACTCCTGTAGCCAAGCACATGATTAAATACACGCACGCACGCACAACAATACAATAAAATATATTGTTCTTGTTGTGGTGTCTCAACATGCCTGTGCCCGTGGAGCACAGCACATGCACATTTTATATTTCCACCTGAACACACATTAGAGGTACCACGCAGTTGCTTCTAGTATTGCAACTGATGCATATTAGGTAGAGCTATAAAAGCAGTTGAACTGGGATCAGTACTCCTTGTCAGTTTTGTGCCATTTGTCGCACTCGCTGACTGTATAAGATCTGGTTACGTTGGTGGACAGTTTGTCATAACTCGTAACATTTTGTCCTCCTTTTTTTGTCATATAAAAGCAGTACTTGTACTTCCACTGTACCAGTGGAGTCATCACATGTACATACCGTTCTGGACCAGGGCGTAAAAGGCTTTCTTCACCTGTACACACAACAGAGCAACACATGACATTGTCATGAAAGCGGTGCAAGAAACAACGTAAATCGCGTCCTCAACATCTGGGCGCTTATTTCACTAGCTCAATTACCCTTTTAGGGACTTCAAACATAACAGAGTACGAACACGTTTGAGAGAAAAAACTCAAATAAAAACACGTGGAGAGTAAGTGAAAAGAAGAATCATACCGCAATACAGACTGCATTTTATCAATCAACACAGTGTGAATGATACGGAATTTTTAATTTTCTTGCAAAGTAGACGGCGATGGGATACACTGTTACAAGCACAAGGCAGGCTTCACTTCCAGGTCAAAACAGATATCGTGTAGACTGCTCGTGCCAGTGGTGGCCACTAGGATAAAGCCCCGTGAATAAGTTCAGAATAACCCAGCGCCAAGCGTTAAAGGGGCACTCCGGCTTCATTTTCGACGTCGAGTTTTCGATGCCAAGACGAAGGTAGGTGAAAGAGAAGACCCCTCGAACAAGAACGAGTCTCCAGAAGCGATCGAGTCGAGCAGGAAGACGACTTTTGAATTTCGGCCGAGCGAGCGCTGATGACGTAATGAGGGATTAGCTTGCCAGTGGAAATGCATCTGCGCACATACATTTCACACACTTTTTGGCCAATTTTCAATCGAAGAAGAGGTTGTTTGCTATGTTCTCCCAAAGCCGTGAGCGATCCCGTCTTCTATACCCTTCCAGGTACCCTGAAGGTCCTCCAGAGGAGAATTTATCTCCATCGAAGCGTTGTTGATCCGCTAAATTCGTCTCGAGACATATTCACCTAGTGCAGTGCTGATAAATGTAGAATGTTGAATCTGTGATAATTGTCGACGATGGAGGGAGAGGCTGATAGCCGCTGTCGCAGGGAGAGTGAAGCTGCTGGAAGTAACAACGGGGAGCCCGTTTGTATCACCTGAACAACCAGAATTCAAAGCAGCTTGACCAAATCGGAGGGTGCCTCGTTGCTGATCGTGAATATTACACCGACATGAATTACTACAAGTATACTGGTGAGTTTTTATCTTGTTTTGTTCTTATGCTAGTACCCTGGCCTGGAGTGCTCGTTAGCAAATTCCTATTCCCTGGCGTTTTCTAAACATTCCGTGTAGGACTGAATACGTGATCAAGTATTCCGATTTGGGTAGATGTGGAATTTGGACATGTATTTTATTTAAAAAAAATTCCAAATAGACCGTTTGTAGAGAAATGGTTGCCCAAATACAACAAAATTTATTCTGCAGTTCTACAACTAACTTGTACTGAAATCCAGTCAAAGTAAAAATGATTCTTCATGACAGTTGGGGTCAATGAAATCTGATCCAGGCATAACGAATGGTGACGCCTGCCACCCCGGGAACGAATGCCCATTTGGTGGGGGATACCAAAGTACTCGAAAGTAGTGCGTGTTTCAATGTGGCATGGAAGTTTTATATGATCTCTGGTCAATGCAACATATGATAGCCATCATGAATTGCAGGCCTCGAACGCAACTCCGACCAGAATTGGCAGTTCCCTAAGTTAGATGCTTTATAATTCCATGGCCCCAGCTGTAGTTATAGAGGTTTTTTTGCACATTATTCTTATAGTCGATAGGTTTGTACTGATGGTCACTAACAACGGCAGTTCAAACTTCACTGATGTGTTCATGAGCTGAGAGATTTCTCTCCACTATTTCTGTTGTGCACACAGGTCTGTCCAATATGCATTGACCGTATTGGGTATGGTACCTGCTCTGAGAAGGGAATCGCTGGAGCCACAGTCCAACTATACAGGCTTTCAAGAAACAGAGAGGAGCCATCTTTGCAAGCTGATACCTGATGTGTACCGACAGAATTCTCACGAGATACCTTACAGACTACGCCTGGGGTATACTTCATAGTACTCCTTCGACTACTGTCCAGAATCAAGTCGACTGAAGCAAGTTCAAACAACTCTGGCTTCAAACTAGCCGTCGATTAGACAAACAAAACATTCTCTCATATACTAGAGCACTCTGACAACTCACGACCTATTCCTAACGATTGCCACCACTAATAAATATGTAGAGTACTGATTGGAATGTGCTCATAATCTCAACAATTCAGTGCTATAATTATTTGAACTATGTGTTCCTTCCATAAATGTTGTATCCACATATAATCCACAGTGCTGCAAAGTTTCAGAGTTCTCAGGGTATCAAAAAAAATATTTCAAATACAGTGAAATTGTTCGTGTACATTATAGCGTAACTTGTAGTTCCCGGGTCCTTTTCTTTGCTATAATTCTCTTCTTTGCTTTGCTCTCTAGCCGCCGGCGAGTCCAACAGCGAAATTGTTAGTTCATATTTATGTGTGTGTGTGTGTGTGGGGGGGGGGGGGGGGGGAGGGTTGAACATAATTCTATATAAGGGACCTGCAACTGTAATACCACAGTACAGTAGATAGCAAATATGTAGAAAACAGAAATGCATGTTCCCATCATTGTACATGGACGGGCGCAGCAGGCCGAAGCTATCAGCAAGAACAGGATTTACAATCGCCTAGAGATACTTGAGCTATTCCAGTATTCTCCGTGAGCTGTCCGATTCCACAATGGTTCATGCCACCATTATTTCTGGTAGTATCCATGTGCATAATTCCAAGACCATCTCGGATTCTTCAGCAATTTGTGCCACGGCAAAAGACAACGCTTGACTCGGTCACTGGGGCTGTCAAACTTCGCATCACAAATGAACTTCAATTTCTCATCTGGTTCAAGTATATGTACTGCCATGACTTGACCATGCTTCATCCACAGCTAGGTGAAGATTGTGGCGTTGAATTCCATAGCGCACCTTCTTGCCGCCATGCAGGAGAATGTTGAGAGAAGTGAACATATTTTTACTAAAAAAACAACAGACACTGAAGAGGCTAGCATTAGCAATAGCCTTGGGTGAATTTCCTGCAGGTACACGTTGTTGGTAGGTCTACTGGTCGGTCTCCATATCGTCAAGTTCAGAAATCACCTGTACTACACATCTTGTAGAAGGGATCCTGATCGAAAAAATTTCTGATCATAAAATTCACTAAACTGAGGGCGAGACAAATAGTCAGTACTCCCCGATTCCGTCTAGCTGCTTTGATCAAGTGATGCTAACAAGCTCCCCGTTGTTACTTCCAGCAGCTTCACTTTCCCTGCGACAGCGGCTATCAACCTTTCTGTCCATCGTCGACAATTATCACAGATTCAACATTTTACATTTGTCAGCACTGCACTGGGTGAATATGTCTCGAGACGAATTTAGCGGATCAACAACGCTTTGCTGGAGATAAATTCTCCTCTGGAGGACCTTCAGGGTACCTGGAAGGGTATAGAAGACGGGATCGCTCACGACGTTGAGAGAACATAGAAAACAACCTCCTCTTCGATTGAAAATTGGCCAAAAAGTATGTGAAATGTATGTGCGCAGATGCATTTCCACTGGCAAGCTAATCCCTCATTACGTCATCAGCGCTCGCTCGGCGAAATTCAAAAGTCGTCTTCCTGCTCGACTCGATCGCTTCTGGAGACTCGTTCTTGTTCGAGGGGTCTTCTCTTTCACCAACCTTCGTCTTGGCATCGAAAACTCGGCATCGAAAATGAAGCCGGAGTGCCCCTTTAACACTGCTGAAGCAAAGGCGGTGCGTTCGAATACACTACACTAGCACCTGGAGTGCAAGCTGTGCGTTGCAATGCATGCCTATAATAATGTTACTCATTATGGCATATGGCGTAGCACACTCTAGTCACTTACCAGGAGATGGGCATCGAATATGACCATTTTGCTATTGTCAGGCATCAGCACACTGCACTGACACCCCTTGGCAAACTCGGCAAACACAGACGAAGGTATGGGTGCTGTGCCTGTTCAAAGTACGCATGCGCATGCACACACACGCGCGCGCGCGCACACACACACACACACACACACACACACACACACGTATGGCCCACCACAAGGGTGATCAATGACGACATCATGAAACTCCAAACCGGCCAATACACCATACGCGCAAGCCAGTGCAAGCACACCACAATGACACACCAGGATGAAGACGAATCTGCGTGTACTTGTGCCAGAGACTAGTCAACACAGGTCGGGCAGAAGAACAGTACACAACTGTTTCAATACCGGATTACTGAGATAGGATACTAAACATGACACAGAAATCATCATCTCTTACTCCAGCAGCGCATCAAACACTGAATCAAGGACAACGCTGTACAAGTAGGTGTGTCAGATGCCAAAGCTAACCTCTTTGCATGGCGTCGATGTCAGGTGTACTGTGGCGTAGAGCAGAGCTAGCCCCGTTGGTTGGTCCAGCAGCTGCTGTTGCCGCCGCTGTCGTGCGTACAGCCGTCTCCAAAACACCAGATATTGGCACCATGACCTGCGTTGGGTAGGACGCCGACATCGATGCCGGCTGCAGTGGTGGATACACATCACCACCGCTGGGTGTAGAGCTGGAGCTTCTCTCACCTTCCCGATCCGACATACTACTACTGGGCTGCGGTAGGTGCTGGTTGCTACCGTCGCCGGCTGACAAGGCGCGCACCATGTGCTCTGGTTGTCCCGGTACCGTCTCTGCAATGGCACACACCGATTTTTATCACACATACAGTAGGTGTACAAGTCGCAAGACGAAGCATATGATTAACCCATTTAAGGCTACGGGTCACAAATCAGGCAACGATGGAAGAGCTGAATCTGTTCAGCATTTCACACTGCATGTGAGGAACACAAGCGTACACAATGGCTGCATCCTGAGGGTGAACTGGCCACAGTGTTGCTGGGCAATACGCATAGCTGCAGCTTCGTAAATATCAGTACCATAAAGTACCGCCAAAGCGCCCCCACCATCTCGTCCTTTCGTGGTCGTATTGTGGAGGTGGTGTCCTGTCTGTAGGTCATACGACACGAACCTTGTACACACATTGCACGTTGTGGAGTCAATCCGTACTCAATTTATCTTCGAGCGGACAAGAGCTCCACACAAAAATCTGCTAAGTGTGACCTTAGTATTACTAAGGTCCTCACACCGTACACACTTCGTTGCACCCTGCCATACGATTTTCAATTCCCTGTCTGTAAAATCAAGGTGGGGTGCTCTCGCGAGACGGGGCGCTCAGGCGGTACTTTACGGTACTTCAACACTATGCTTCCCATGATAACTCAATAAATGGCTCACAGTACGGAGTTGAATTATTATTTCAGCAAGCTATAAAGACTTCTTTAAATTTACTCCATTCAGTAGTAGTCCAGGAATGTGTGAGACGAACAGTTTTCTCCACGTGTGGCTATTATTAGAATGGCACAGTCTGTGCGTACTTGTTTGGTCCTCGTGGCAAACTGGTACGGTGAGCGTGATTCTGCTTCATTTGAGGAGAAATAATCGAAAAGAAGTCCCGAAAAACAAGAACGAAAGTCAACCCGCCACGGGCCATGTTTAATAACTAAGATTTACAGCCAGTTCAACTGTATTCTTACCAGAAGATAGGTTTGGTGGTGGACTGAAGGAAAGTCGCTTCGATGCTGACGAAGCCAATTCTATTGTTGGCACTGGTGTTGAGGAAGCACGCCTCCGGCCGTCGGGAACATCGGCCCCGTTCTTTGCTCGGGGCGAAGTGGCAGAAGGAGGGACTGGCTGTTCTGTTACTGGTGGTGGGGATGTTTGTGTAGCTGATGGGCGAGATGGTGCGGTGTTCCATCTCCAGAACCAGTCAGTATCCTTGTGAGCACTACTGCTAGTATTGTTACTATCACCGCTACCACTTAGATCGGCAGTGCCAGCAGCAACCACTCCTCGGTGCCGTATATGGGACACGGCACGTGGCTGCTCAGCGACTACACACGGATTCTCGCCACGTATCGCGCTCTCACCGCTGTCCACAGGTGGCCCACCACTTGGAGCGCCATGGGACTGTGGCGATGACAGCGGTGAAACTGGTGCTAAGCCGTTTTTTGGTGTTTTTGAACACGGACTGTCTAAGAGAATAGCCATGCTACCAAGATCCTGTGGCACAATACACCCACACACACACACATGCATGCACACACACACATGCATACACACACACATACACACACACTTGTACTTGTTGCTCACTGCCAAACTGGTCACGTGGGTCTCCCCGGGAGAGGGGAGAGAGACTCAAAAGGAATCTTGAAGATGACTCAATTGGCTATTGAACCGCCCAACGGCCGACACCCCCTGAAATCCCCAAAACTCTGGGTGAACTTGAAAATGATGCCACACCTCAGTAAGTGGGTGAGGACAAGGTGCAGAAAAGGGATTGCCGGCATCAGGGTATCCGTCCAGGGATCCAACTGCAGTTACCCCTGCCCCCAGTGAAGGTAATACTTGCTACTAGTGTGGGTGGCTAAATCAGAGTGGATCTGATATAAGCTTCATCAGCACCATTGATTACACAAGAGTTAATCTAGCCAGAAGCAGTCCATGGTTAACAGGCATGTATACTTCAAATAGAAAGTAGATGAACCCTGGAACCAACAAAGGTGGCAGGTACAACATTACACCTTCAAGCAGCCGGGCCCGTTGGCAACAGACCCAACACAATCAGGCATAAGTGTACCCACCAACCGAACTAGCTGGCACACACACACACACACACACACACACACATACACACACGTACAGTAGGTATCGGTTATAGCGTGGGTGTTTGAAAAACGACTTTCTATTCTTATTTCCGATATGTCTTACCCACGATAAATCTAGTGTGACGTATCATATGCATGGGCGCTTAGCCAGGAAGATCATCGCACATGCAACGCAGTGCTACTGTGTATGCGGTTGTTCATACTTCCAAAGTAGTCCATGTGGCTGAGCAACAATGATTTACATGACCACTGACAGACCACAACAGATGCACTTGCAGCAATATGATGCAATTCGAGTCGGTTCAGAACTGTACCGGGCAGATGTTATTACTACAGGCGATACACTTTGTACTAATCTGGCATGTTTTGCTACACAAAACCCATTCTTAGGACCGATATATTCTATTACACGATAACGTTGCTTGTAAGAGTAAATGAAACTCATGTTATGATTATGAAAATATGACAGTTCATTCTTGTAGGCAGTATATTCTTTTACACGACCACACTATAACCGATACGCACTGTACACAGAAACCAGTGTAAATGTCAAACTTGGCCAGTTGAAGCATATCACCGTGGCCCAGAAATATACGCAAATTCTCCATGCTTGCTACATGATCATATGAACACGCAGCCGCTTTGAAATGCAAGAGTTGAATTTCGGGAAATGGACAATTGAAATGGTACATTTTCAAATATGATGGGCAGAAGTGAAATACATGATTGTACAAGTACCTACTAAATTGAAAATCATCTAGTTCCTCATCCTCCTATATGAGATTCAACCTTACTACATGTAATGTAGATGAAGAGCAAGTCATGCATCTCCTGCACTGGTTGTAGCCTCATTCTGGCATCGCTTCAAACAGAGCGCAAGCCTTTTCTTCAAGGTATAAAGTTACACTGTTACAAATCTCTGAAAGGAGTAGGTTTCCTCGACTCTATCTCCCAACTAACACTATTTCGAGAGTGTGACAATAGTCTACCCATTTTCATCTGTGTATACTGCAGGGCTGCCGATGTTAATCGACAAATTTCCTTACGGTTTCGCTGCATTGATTCTCTCCAGGGCCTTCTCTGCTGCTCGCCATATTCGAATTTTGGCGATCCACGCCCCTATAATTCAAAAGGCGAACCTCAACTAAACGGGACTTTCGGAACAAACACCGATCCAGAAGCTCAAATACTCAGATGCATGAGTATTAGTAAGGTATGAACATCACAATCTAGTGGATAGATCTAACCGTAGCTACTCGTACCTGAAGTGAAATGCCACAACAGCCAAAGAAAATATTCGCGGTGCAGGCAGCACATTACATGCCGAACTCAAAAGCAAGTCACATCATTCATGCAGAAAGAGCGGGGTCTTCCCTTCCGCAAGTGTGTTTACTGTGCATGCATGTGTAGATCAACAGGTGTATGACTCTGAGCAGCGAAGTCGCGTGTCAAATGCTTGACATATCGGCGAGATGGAGACCATGTACCAGGCGATAGTGCTAGGCCGCCCTTCAATTCACGTACCTGCATACCGCATACCGCCGCGGTCTACGTCTACATCAATTTTACGTCTGCGTGTGTTCCTGGAGCTGAGTCTGAGACGGCATTTAAAAAAAAAAAAATCATTTTTGAATCCACCAGAGCAGTTTCCAGATTAGTCCTGCATACCGGTAGCTCTACTCTGTACTACTACAATACTGCATTCCCAAATAATTCCTGATCTTGCAGATACATAGCTCCATGAACGATGCCTTTTGGAAGTCTTATTTGAATACGTATTACATCTGTTGTTGGTTTGGCGAGGCAGAGGGTCTCAGAAGGAGCTGTGACAGCCATGGAGAGCACTGCTGACACAGCTCGCCATCTGGTATTTGTTTATGGAACACTGAAACGTGGTCAGCCGAACTATGCGAAATACACTGCAGACAGAAGCAACGGCCGAGTAGCTCAGTTTGTGTCCAGGGCAGAGACAGAGAAATGCTACCCTCTCATTGTTGCATCACGATACAACATTCCCTGTCTCTTGCCAGCTGAAAGCCAGGGAAAGGTGAGCGGTGCAATTTTGTAGTGGACCATCCTGTTGCTAGTACATTTGAGTTGCAAATAATTTCTGCATTGATCTGAGGACATGGAGGTTTGGGTCGGCGCGTGTACCATGGTGTATGGCAGAATGTGAGCTCATGCTTGGCAAATATTTATTTCCATGACCTGTAGTGTTACTATATACACATGATGATGACAATACTCTTGTCAAGGCTTTTATGCAGACCTATCATGACATGACATGCATTTGAAGTAGTCTTAAAAGTACTTCAGTCTATAACACGTACCTGTTTAGCATACAGTCAACTTCGCTAATAACGACTGCGGATATACCGACAATTCGTGAATAACGACATAATTTTCATGCCCAGAGCAAAGTCCCATCCAACTGTGACACATATAATGAGACTTCGGGTATAACAACACTTCGCGAATAACGACACTTTTCTGATGCCGCACCGAGTGTCGTTATAAGCGAAGTTGACTGTATACCTGCCCTCCATAGGGTGATTTGGCATGCGGACGAATGTAACCTAGGGTGTCATCGATTGGCGAATTTGGATTGAGTGCGAGCAGGCGGTGTAGTCCGGGCAACACTGGCCCAATCGAACAAAACAAGGGTGTAGTACGCAGAATGTACGCGTATCGTACAGAGATTCTGTGAAAGCTGTCGAAAAACACCAGAAGTCCATTTCAACTCCAGCCACTCCCGCCCGGTGTGGGGGCTTGTGTGGTCGGATTCCACTCCGAGCACACCTACTAGTACTCCGTATTCGGCCGGATTCAGCCAATCGATCACGTCCACTCGGAGCGCACTTGCTCGGGATTCGCCCAATCGATCATGCCCCTAGTCTGTCCCCACAGAATAACGCGGACAAAATCTTAAAATTATGCGGTATAATGCGGTCATTTTGCACGTGTTATCTATCCTTGGTACAACTTTCGCGTACAGTTTCATGCAAGTATACAACTTTGTCATACAAACTCATGGGTAGGTACTAGGTGCGACTTTGTAGTATGTACATTTTCAGCATCATGTACTATTTTCTTGTACATTCCCATGGATAACGCGGGTTTTCTGCAATCGCGGTATCCTGTGGGGACAGCCGGGTAAACGGATCTTGGTCCTTATTACCATTCAAGTGTTTTCTGTCATGTACTAGTATATTTTGGCGGTTCCCAGCCAGGCCATTATTTGTAGTGTTGAGACATGTAGAGTCATGTGCACGTACACAAATTACTGGGATGACAGCTGCACAATAGCTAGTGGTAGAGCACGAGCAGCACTACAGTCCATTCATAAAAAAATGGGTCCTGGCTCTGGCGAGCTCCCGTATTTGGCGATTTTTCGTGATTTCATCGTACACAGTGCAGTGCTGCGAACTTTGAAATTTGAAAAAGGGTCCAAAAAGGGTGCCTGAACTGGGGTTCGAACCGCAGAATGCACTGTTGCAGGCGGGGTCAAACGGCCTGGATTTTGATGGTTTTTCCCAATTCAGTGCTTTTGGGGCAAAACCTGGCCGAAATCCTATTCTTGCTATGGCTTGCTTTTTGGACAAAAAAACTTCAGAAACATAATTGGAAGAGGATTCCACATGGGATTGCAGAAAAAAATTCTAAAAAAACTCAACGTTTGACCCATTTATGGCCAAAAGCTAGAAGTTCATTTTTTTCTGAATGGACTGTAGCCTATAGCGAAGGTCCCTGATTGGAGTCCTGGGTGGTAAAAGTCATTTCTTACATGACACATGATTGTGCCCATGTTATGGCTTATAGGTGGCCTTCCCGCTGCAGGTGTAATCAGGCTATCATGCCCGATTAACGTCATTTGGGAAGATTTCAAATTGTCAGCCTTTGGCCTTTCCTAATATGTTGCTTCATGTTGTAAGAAATCAAATCAAGCATGCTCTGTCTGTCATGAAGGCTGAATCTTGCCCTTGCTTGCCGCCCTTGGCTTTTCCCTTTCAATCCCTTAAACTTGTGATACAGTGCTGCAAATCCGATCGCATGACTCCAGTTTTCATCCTGCACAGGTCTTACTTGGGCTTCACAGCGTCCGGCATGACATCAGGACAGGGGTGTCGGACACGCTGCGCTCATTACGGTATTGACCGTGTCGCCTTTCACCTTTGCTGCCTGTGAATCAGTATGAGTCAATAAAATGCACAGATTCAATTTTCAGCGGAGCCCCCCCCCCCCCCCTAAAGTACTTCAGATGGTTGACCGTACCACCCAAAAATAACTTCCAGCGCCCTTGGACATTGAATTGTACAATCATGTGTGATCGAATTTCTTTGACCAGCACTGTAAAAATAACGAGGTGCTAAATTTAAAGGGGAAGTATACCCTAAAATCAAATTTTCACCAGTTGTAGTCTTCGGGGTGCTGAGTCGAATGGTCTTGGTCCGAAAAAGCTGAGACGCTCCCTTCCTCCTTTATTCCCAATTGAACTCACGCACTTCCATCGAAACTAGGTGACTGCGCCCAACTATAATTATGGGGATTTGTATGCAAAAAGTCACTAAAAACGCCATTTCGTTCTTATAAAACCACGGATGCCCGCGATTGGTCCATATGTTGTAGTCTTTTGGACGGTGAGTCGACTGGTTTTGGTCCGAAGATGCTGCGATTAATCCCAATCGAACACGGGTGAGTAAGCGGTCACATGCTCATGCGTACATGTACACCAGTCACCTGGTCACCGTGCCTGCAGGCTGCAACTTTTACAGTGTTCCTGTCACTCGGGCTGAACCTTTGAACCTTTGAGTTGAACCTTGGTGTGAAAGTTGTACCCTGCAGGCACGGTGCCGGTGACCAGGTGACTGGTGTACGCATGAGCACGTGACCGCTTACTCACCCGTGTTCGTTTGGGAATAAGGGCCGAACTCTGCATCGCAGCCTTTTTAGACCAAAACCAGTCGACTCAGCGTCCTAAAGACTACAACATATGGACCAATCGCGGTCATCCGGGCTTTTATCAGAACGAAACAGCGCTTTTAGTGACCTTTTGCATACAAATCCCCATCTAGTAGGGCGCAGTCACCCAGTTTCGGTGGAAGTGCGCGAGTTCGATTGGGATTAAAGTAGGAAGGGAGCGTCTCAGCTTCCTCGGACCACGACCATTCGACTCAGCACCCCGAAGACTACAACTGGTGAAGTTTTGATTTAAGCCTTAACTTCCCCTTTAACGAGGAGGAGAAATGCCGTGCATACTTGACTATAGGCCTGTTGCCTGCAAGTAATGATTTAGGAGACTTCTGTCGTTACATTAGAAACTGGTACAGGTTGACTCCTGGTATTTCGAGCATGGTTTTAGAATTTACTGCTCGAATATCTTTCAGGACCGATTTCGGTCAATACCATTTCCCTACGACCGAAGTCTGAGCTTGAGTCCGCAAAGCGGATGTACTTCGAAGTACGCCTGTTTAGAAGTCCCACAGAATCCACTGACATGGGAAATGTATAGGTGTCCTGCTGATAATTCAAAGTTAGCAAAGCGTAATTCAAATTTCACTCACGGTACACTGTAATGGTTAGTTTGATGTGCCCAAGAAGACTCTACTGGGGGGGTTCAGAGTGTGGCACCTGTTTGCTAAAAATTCGAAATGGTGGCTAAGTTAATTTTTAACAGCATGATCGATCGGCGAAAACCCACGATTTGTTCAGCCCTAGTTCTTTGGCATCCCATTCTTTGGTGTGCATGATCACTCCACAGTGGTGAAGATCTGGGATATCATGCAGGTATAATATTGTTGTACTGTAGCAGTACACGTCTTTACTGTGTCCCATGGTGATGCACGCCGTTATGCCTTTGGACTACAGGAGAATTTTCTTCATGATACCAGTAGTGTTGGATACTGCAGGTAGATGCGCTAGTATTCTCTTTGTCGTTATGATGTGAATTTGCACAGCATGTCATTGGGGAGATGTACCGGATCAATGATGCCATGCTGCTGCACATGGATAGCTTGGAAGGATGTCCACGCTACTACGAGCGACATTCACTCTCTGTACGCCTGCTGGATGACGAAGCACCCAGCTCAGGAGCTACTGAGCATGTGAAAGGTGATCTCATCATCTGCAATGTGTATTTCTTAACTGACTTCAAACCAGAAATGCTCACAGACCGGCCACTCCTTACTGAATTCGATGGATACACCGAGCCGAAATACATCTCCAAAGCAGAGGCCAAGGGTCCAAAAGACATGGAGGCGGCAATGGCTGAGTTGAAAATTCTAACAAAACCTATGGAAGCTACAGTAGCCTTCCTCAGATCTCAATAGCTCTACTGTTGCTTTTGTTATGCGGTGTGTGGAGGAGGTACCAGGACTGTGCAACTGTATGGCTTAGTCCTATCCAAGAGTGCTGCTTCTATGCCACATGGCTCAGCTGAAGTCTGTCCAGGCGCCTTCCCCTAGGTTCTCTTGATGACTTCGCATACATGTATGCCTGCACCTGCACACATCACTCTGCTCCCAGCTTGAGCTATGACAGTACACTCACACACACCTCGTTTATCCGGGCGGTCCGGGACCGGGCACTGGCCGTAACTCCAAATCACATACCTCTTGATGAAGAAAGGCCGGAGAAATGTGGTAATAGTTCCCATAAAACTCCCCTAAAGTGTGGCCCGGCCGTAACGTTGGCGTCTGGATAACTGGTGTCTAAGTGTATGCCTCTTAAACGGTTGTATGGTAACATTGCACACAGAAATGCCCATGCCCACAGCTAGGAATGACATAGATAAGCGTGATCGTTTTTGTAGCCTGTACTGTTTACCCCTTTCCCTTGCTGGCAACTAGCTGACAACCCTGGCAATATCACCCTCGTAGTGACAAGTTGCTGGCAATTGGTTTACTGATCAAATCAATCTGTTTGACTTGTGCATTTGCCTGCATTGTATTACCCATATCGCTGTAGCATATTTTGATATTTTCATCATAAGTACATGTACATGTATAGCTAATTTCCAAATTTTCCCCTTTCTTCCCTGGCTTCTTCAGTCTGCTGTGGTCGCTTCACAACTCTACTCGTATAGCGATCGCGAGGTACGTTTTATTTGCTAGACATTTTTGTTTTTATCCAGGTTTTTTTAAGATTCTGTATTTTGAGTTGCTTCAAGTCAAACCGATAAAGAAAAGCCCAGCACCCTGCAGCCTGTGTCATTTTTTTTGATTCCTATGGTTTGCAAAGTGTGTATTGTGTGCGTGCTGCACCGTGAGAGTTTGTGAAAGCGTGATCTGCACAACTAAGAACCATCAACACCGGATACGTAGGTGGCTTGCCGTGGTCGTGTTGCTATTCCGGCCCTTACACGCTACTCAGCAGTAGTGTGGCTGCGAGCGCCTCTCGTCTATTCAGAATAAACGGGCGGCACATATGATATTGCTTTGACATCGCAGCATCTGTATCAAAATACTGATGTTTTTCAAAACGACTGTTGGTAGCTTGTCATCCTACCCTTCCTTGACTTCCCAAACGTGCATGATATTTTCAATTGATATCTATTGATATCTAGCCCTGCATAATAGGGGCCGGGTGATAACATCCCCTGGCCTTGGCATGACCCACGTTTTAATAGGCACCCTGTACATATAGTGCAAGAGTATAAGCTTTTCTTCAGAATTCTCACAAACTCCATTGCAGCGTATTTCTTGCACTTGAAAATACCGGCAACAGGCTCTCAGCTGCGGCAATTGCCCTGATGATGCCCAATGGGCGAAATATTGGCAAAGTTATTTATTTATCTATTTGGTGCAGCTGAGAGCCTGTTGCCGGAATGGCGGTATTTTCAAGTGCGGGTATAAGCTTATATTAAATATAACTTATTATAAGCTCAGGGCGCCTTTGGTTGGTACGACCTAGAACAGGATGATTCACCAGAACAGCGCGTTTGGTTGGCACTGCACCTGTTCTGGGTCGGCCACAACATGTTCTGCTTGCCCGAGGCCGGAGCAGACCGAGCAGTTTCACTTTTTCACGGTGAAACCTGGTGGGAACATCGATTTTGGTCCCAAATGGTCACGTGCACACGCTTTTGGGTTGGACTCGTCGTACTGTACACAGTGACCATGGTGACACATACACATTTTGAAGTATGTACTAATTAGTTTGGCATATTTGTTCACAAAAATGTGCTCTGTTTCTTCTGGAGTACCGTTTGGTTGGCATGAGGCTGTTCCATGTGCACCAGCTGTTCGATCCTGTTCTAGATCGTACCAACCAAACGCACCCATATACCAAGTGGCAAGAGTAAAAGCTGAGGCTCGTACTCTTGGTACAGTCTAGTAGTCCATTAATTTTTATTTTGGCATTTCTGCTTTGAAGTGCAATCAGGGAGTTGTCAAAACACGACTTCCTGGGGGAGTCTTCGCGGCTGGGGCCACGAGGGACACCACGCTAGCGCTCACAAGCGCACAAATACAAAACAGGTCTCCACTCCAGACGTAACGTTTTCACGACTCGATCGGGTAGATCGAGTACTGCCAGTCTAGTCTGTACATCAAAATATTTCAGGCTTCACTGAATATCTAATCAGTTGCACTTGACTTGGCTTTGGACAGCCTGCACTCGACTCGAGACTGTGACAGTGTGAGCTGAGTGAAGACTGAAGTAACAGACACTGAGACAGTTAGCAGACCGGCGTGATAGATAGTTCACCTAAGTTACGTCAAGTGATGTAGATCACTTCTGAATTTCCTTTTAGGTTTATTGTTACTGTTTTGAAATAATTCAGTGTCGTCCCGAGCATGTTCCACTTTTCTTGGCACGCACAGTCCAATGTTCTTAGTGCTTTGTCGCTGAATACTTTGTCTGAATCATAAAGCTACTGTAGTTGGACTTGCAGAGTCTCAAGATTAGTTTTTGCAATGCTACTGGGTGACAGCGCGTGGACCTCTCTGTCGTCCCAGTGGAGATACCGCTACAACAAATGCTGATTGATTGTTGCACATGTGCTGAGGCGCTACAGAGAAAATCATGAGTCGACGGAAGACACAGACCGAAGAGTCAGCTCCTCTTATTGACGCAGAACTAGAGATTCCATCGCTGACAGCAAGTCACTCGTCCTCCGAGTCACTCTTTTCAAGTATGGTAAGGCCCTAAGCGTTACCTTTCACTTTGAAACTATAGGGATCAAACTGCAATAGCAGTACATGCACGACCGTGTACTATCACGGAGTTGAAAGGTCGCTAGTATTAGTATTACATGACTGCACTATTAGTGCGACAGTACCCATACTGCTATCCATTCATAGCATGGAGTAGTAAAATACTCCCTGAATTTCATTGGCTGCATGCTTGTGTATACAATACAGCTATTTGTCTGATATGCAAGCCGCTGTCTGCTCTTTTACACTCAACGATAACCGTGCGGCATTTGCCATACATGTACAGTAACAGACTCATGTAGCCTTGCTTCATCAGACACTGCTCCACGAATGCAAGCTTTCTCGACAAGAAACAACAAATCCTCCAAACCTGCAGCCAGGAGATTGGGAAGGAACACTTGACATGTACTTGACTTCGGGATTTTCATTATTTCCTTGTTTGGTTGCCATCTCCCACACAGATTGGACTATTTGATGGAAACGCCTGGGCCTAGAAAAAGTCTTCAGTTGCAACTTGCAAAGCTGCTGCTCTAGAATATAGATAAAGTGAATCGGACGCTTCTAGCTTTTTTTTTATGCTGGCTGTTTTTTTCGGTCTTTTCAGAGTGATGATGAAGGCAGAGACCTTATCAACACATTACCACCCGAGCTGATCATGAAGTAAGTGCATTCAAAGTCAACCCCACCCGCATTTATGTCCATCATTAAAAGCCGATAAAAGGGAACTTGAGTATGGCCTGAACTCAAAATTCCACTACGTGTAGTCTTCTGGGCGCTGAAGCAAGTGTTGCCGGTCCAAGAAAGCCGAGACGCTCCCTTCGTCTGTCAGCTTTCCTGTCGCTGCATCAGGAGATCATACTTCCGCACTTCTTTCTTCCGGCATGCCAACCGTACACTGCTGTACGCAGTTTGGATGCCTACAATCTTCAGCCAAGCGACACTGCCTGTTGTATAATGTACCTAATTGCACAAGAGGGCATATCAAGTTCCATGAAATGGGACTACAGATTCTGAGAGGTTAGTGAGAGCACAATCACCATAATGCTTACCATGGGAACAGTTTCCTTCTTCCGTGACCTCATGAAGGTGATTGGAAGAGTTCCTCCCAGGATGGTGTACTAATGTCGTACGAGACCGGTGACACGCTCGACGTGAATGCGCACGTTGGCAATGCGGCGGGTCTCGTGCACCTCCTCGGCCGACAGTTGGTGGCTCTTGCTTTTGGTAAAGGCAGAGATCAGCAGCTGGGCTTGCTGTACGGCGCGACGTTCTGCAATGTCTAGCCCTCTATCAGCGAGGATAAGATCACCGGTGTGCATGTAATAGTCACACTACGACGACAAACAATCCGACACTCCCGAACAACCCCCGCACACAATCCCGTACCCGACCAGCCCACCAACACTGCGCTGGGTTGAATGAAGAGTTAGTGCCACCAAATGTAATGAGCGACCGAGTGACAAGGCAAACTGGATTTCTCTCATGACTCACAATTGCACATGTATTAGTTACAGGGAATACTGTTACACGAAGAGATTCAGACAACGTACGTAGCACAGAACTTATGCTGAAAGACGCAAGTGAAGATAAGACTAAAACAACGGAAGCAAAGACTCGGAAACAACTGAACTGGGAAACTGACAGACGGATCTATATACGGTAAGAGATTGAAGTCCAGTTACAGCTCCGAGTGCTAGCTAGCGATCTCTAAATGTAAGCAAGGGATAGTGACAGTTACGCATCACTGGCCACATAAGTGCTATTGTGTGGAAGGAAGAATACAGATACTATCTAATGCAGGTAACTAGAGACCTGATGGTGCCAGCAATGAATAGTGCAATACGTAGTGGTTTGTGTAGGAGGAAGTCCGTCTACTACACACGATAAAGAGTAAAGAGAGCTGAAAGAGAAAACCGCCAACCGGAGTAGAACCACAAAGAACCTAGTCTCTCTCACACTGCAACTAGAAAACCACATGTCACGCATACAAGCTAGCACTGCAGTGCAGGTAATCATCAGTGGCACCCCAGCCACCCCATGGTTCAGATACAAAGGAGATAACGCCTTGGGGCGCTCCCCAACCAAGTCATGGCGATGGATTGCGGCGAGATATTTCTCTCTTCTCCTTTTTGGTCAGCTCAACAATTTTGGACACCACAATTCGTGAAGATGGCCGGGATGTGGAAGACCAAGAATTTGCCCCGTCTCAAATGGTTAGAACATCCCGTAACGCAGCAGATCACCATATTTTCTACTTGGCTTTTCGCAGAGAACAAAGAATTACTGGCATACTCTCTTCGGCAAACAACTGTCACCTCGACAACACCACAGCAAAGGCCAATTCATGGTGTTTGTTCCATTTTTCCCCAGTCCCTGTTCACCGCCATTTTGGGGTCCCCATGGGCACACTAAAACATTACGTCATTTTCTGTCCTTGAAAAAGCTGTATACATGTACTCCCAATTGTACTTGTGCACTTCCCCCTAATTTGGATGAGCGTGCCCTACTACACCCGATAGGAATTTGTGTGGAAAATTCACTGGAAGCACCTTTTTGTTCTTACATCATGCAGCTTTCGGAACGTGTAGTCTCCTCTACGCTCCATCGAATGATCTTGGTGTGAGGAGGCTGCGCTACAGCAGCACTCAGCCCTCATTTATATTATTATTATTAGAAGCTTAGGACGTGGTAACGCGGACGTGCAAACTTTATTTTATTTTATTTTTTATTAGAAACTTCTCCGCATTGGCATCAATGCCCTCATTCTGCTGTCTCATAATGCTCCAATCACCGTACCTGTGCATTGCAGCAAGTATGTGGAAATACTCGAGTGCAGTAACACAGTAACCCACACATGCGTAGCCAAGTGGTGCGACCCCACCCAGTAAAGTATGACGTTGTTCAGCAAAAGTAGGTCTGGATTTTATGAGTGAAGCCTGCAGCTAACCAGTCGACCAGTATAATCTCAGTTCAGAATTGTTTATTGGGGGGGGGGGGGGGGGTGGAAGGATTTATCTGCCCGAAGGCCGCCTACATGCACCCTGTAAGAAGACCTTAGGGTCTGTTGGGAATGCCGAAGTAGAATAATATAATACAATACAATACATGCATGAGGATAGGAATTTTTTTTAAATGTACAGTGATCATGGCAGTCTAGCTTTGATGAAAGTGTCTAGTTTTGATACTTGAAAAAGGTGGTGGCGCACAGGACTGTTTGTTTGTAGGGACAGGGAAAGGATCTGGATCTGGGTCATTAGGACCATGGGAATTGTACGATGAACTGCTTCGAAATAGAGAAAGATGTAATTGACTACATGATGTCATCTGTCTCTTTATCTGTCCCTTTCTGTCTGTCTCTCTCTGTCTCTCTCTCTCTCTCTCTCTCTCTCTCTCTCTCTCTCTCTCTCTCTCTCTCTTTCTTTCTTTCTTGAAATGCATATTTGCCCACTGTTGCAGGATAATGTCTTTTTTGGATGTTGTCTCCTTATGTCGATGTGCTCAAGTCTCTAAGGTGAGATTCCCAGATGCTGTGGAGTGTTGAGCATACTTTATGACATAGCAGGTCAACCCGAAAATACTGTTTTATCTGCTTTTTTATATGGATATGTGCTTGAAGTACATGTGCGTACATGTACTGATGACGTCAGTCACCCCGGAATAAATATCACACCGCTGGTGAGGTATGATTTGTGTCACAGCATTGCTTTTACTCACTGCTGTGCTGAACACTAGTGCGTGGCAATTGAATAATGTAGCCCTGTCAATGAGCCACAACATACCATACGTGATGAGTTGTGCATTCGTACCATGTTGTTGGTACACCCAAGCAATACGTATGGCGGTAGTAGTCGTTGATGACCTGCATTGCATGCAGGATCTGGACAACTGGAAAAGCTTGCAGTGTAATAAAAGTATGCGTGTGTGTGCGTGTGTTTGTGTGTGTGTGTGTGTGTGTGTGTGTGTCTGTGTGTGTCTGTGTGTAAAAAAATGAAAAAGACCAAAAGTAGGGATTCACTGGCCAGAAAAAGCCACTTCATAGCTGTGTGGTGTAGACCAGGCTGAACAGTGGCGGTCAATTTTTCAGCCTTGCAAGCTGTTGGATGGTGCAATCCCAGCACAAGCTGCTATGGCTTCTGCTGTAGCATCGCTATCACCGCCTCCGGCGATGGGCGTCAAATGGTCTGTGTGTATGTGTGTGTGTGTGTGTGTGTGTGTGTGTGTGTGTTCTTACTCTTATCGCTGTACGTCACCAGGCCTGGTATTCCCTGGCACTTGATGGGAGTAACTGGCAGCGAGTGGACTTGTTCAACTTTCAACGAGATGTAACCGTGAGTTGCTATAGCTGTGCCTATATCGGAAGGTTTGGAAGTATATTAGCAGTAACCAGTGCATCCACAGCAGCAGCAGCAGAAGCGGTAGTAGTGGTGATCCCTGTCATGGTATAACAATGGGTAGCAGGACTGGTATATCTTCTTGCTTCACCCATCCGTACTTTGTCTCTGTCATAGTGGCTGAAGTCCACCATCCTGATCTTCAACTGGTATGGTTGGTAGTTCAACTCCGCATCTGACCACCCTATGAACTTCTTGTTGCATGTGTGGTTTTGCAGGACGAAGTGGTGGAGGGCTTGGCGCACCGCTGCCGTGGCTTTCTGCGCGTGCTGAATCTTGATGGGTGTCGTAGTGTGGAAACACATTCAATAGTGTAAGAGCACGCACCATGCATTCACCTGAAGATATGTGCTACCAATGATTTGCTGTGTCTAACTGAATCCACCATACTTGTACTTGAAGTACTGACCAGGACAAAGTCCAGTCCAGTTGGCCAAGCCATGGCCGAACTGGACTGGACTTTGTCCTAAGTTCTTTCTTACGCTCCGTCTGGGAGCCTTTTCCGCCATGGTGCCCTACTACGTTCACCACCGTTCTCACTCCTCGAACACTGCCCAGTATCAGGCTCGAAGGACCAGTTCTGGTCTGGCCTGGCCTTCGACTCACGCACACATGAGTGAAGAAGACTGTATTTCACTAGAACTCTTTGTTCCCAAGAACAGCTAATCACTGCCGATGCAGCACAGCGTAGCCAAGCTAAAGGTGCAGCTGAAAAACCTCCCTCCACATGCACAAGAACGCAACAAAGAATTCCCTCTGCAAAACTGGCTTAGCAAAACTGAACCCAGCGGAACCTAAGGCCAGAGCCCGCTGCACGAATGCGATAAGACCTGAGGCATTGAGGTGCACCCGAGCTGAGTACACAATTGATACAGTATGATATCAGGCGCTAAGATCAAAGCACAGCGAACAGACAGTATTACTGCGATGGCATTGATCACAAAGAAACAAGGTACACATATGAAACTGCCAAGAACGGAAGTCAGCAACTCGTAGGCATGCGTGTTGATTATTTAAAAAAAGTATTGAATGGTATTTTTTTAGTACGAATTCTGTGATAATTATAATTATTGTGCAATCTCTACCAGTCAAACTCTTCTTATCTAGCCCGCCTAGCACTCAGTGATGCAGAGCACAGCGCGTGGACATGGCCCAGCGGCAGAGCACAGCACGTGGCCCAGAGGCTGTCCAGTTGGCGGGCTTGTACGGACCAGACTAGTCTGCATGAGAGGAGTTTTGTTTTTTAATTTTCTATGACAAAATATGGTGTGCTTGTTAGGTTTTGACTGGATACTGGTTATTTTCTTGAGCTGTCCACGGCTAGACATGCGACCAACTGAAGTGTTTTCTCCTCTTGATGTGTCTTACGTTTGTGTCCTGTAGACGACTGGCTAAGAGTTGTAATTTAATCCAAGAGCTGATCCTGAAAGGCTGCGTGAAAGTCACGGATAGGTATGTTGGTATCCTTTTCAACAGTTTACGCAATGCACCTTGTTTCAAATGTGATATATTGGCAATTTGCGCCACTTTCTCTCTCTCTTCCTCCTCCCCGTTCCAGTGCCTTCAAGCATATTGTGTTGGTGTGACGTTGATGATGGTTATCTGCTGGTTGTGTTGCGTAGAGCACTCAAATATATTGCCAACAACTGCCCCAATCTTCAGCTACTGGACCTGTCAGAAGGACCTGTTGTCACTGATCGTGGCTGTGCCTATCTGAGGTGAGCTGGAGCGGCAGAAAGTTAATTAGTTGACTACTTATAGTGAGGGTGGCACTCACATGAAAGCAAACCATACTAGTAATCAGGCAGTTGTTAACGCCTATATTGCATCGGTTGGAAACACACACATGATCAGCGTGAAACTTTAGCAGAATTTTAGTGTTGTATTTCACCTACCTGTGGCCCGGAAAGAGAGACTTTCTATACTGGCTAGTATAGTCTGCTTGCTCCATTGTGGGTAGGGTGGGCA